CGTCAAAAAGAGAGTGGTGTATGGCCTGAATAGCAGAACCAATAAAAGTAATTCTCACAACAAATGATAACCTCTGCAAAGCTAAGTGCATGGACAGGTCTCAGAATTCCTTTGTAAGAGCTGAGCAAAAAATGAAAATGTGAGGAGGAGGAGGAGAAAGTCTGGCCTCTTATGCTGTTTACAAAGAAAAAAAAAGCAAGAAAAAAATAGAGGACAGTCAATAATGAGGTACAAAAAGCAAGTTTGAAGCAGATCCATTTGCTTGACGTGATACACAAGCAGAGGAACCAACATGCGAGGCAGTAGTGATTAATTCGCATCATGGTGCCTCTTCAGATTAAGCAGTTCGCAGCCACCGTTTCACATCCACACAAATAAATTATGCATTATCTACATACATATGTATAAGGGCCAAAAATAACGTCAGGAAAGTCAGTGTAAACAATAAATTATACAACTTATAAGAGGTGAAACTTCAGTTGAAAGTCATCGCGCATCGTATTCAGAAAGTATGCTGCAGAAAGCACATAGTTAATAAAAAGAAAAAAAAAAAACTGCAGCGCTTCAAAGCTGTCCGAACTGCTCTACAAAACCTCATGCCTGTTGTTCAGTACTAGCCATGCACAACAAAATAAAGAAGATGCCCTGCACGACTGCAAATGAGCAAGTGTAGAAAACAGTGCTAGATGCTTTCAGGTCAGATAGGCTGAGTGATTCCAAAGACAGCCTTCGAACATTGGATCTCTATACTAGTAAATTTATGATTTTCGATTGCTTCAAGACATTAGGGCCCCTAGAGAAATGTTTCTGCAAGCTTACTTGTCCTCCTAGTCTTTCTTTTCTTTCTTGTTTTTCATCTGTGCAGTTATGAAACTGCCAGATGTTGGGCATCACTGCTCAGGCAGTGCGAAAAAAAGTCAGCAGATCTTCCCGTTCCGGGAGAAATTCAATTATTTAGCTAATCTCGCACTTTTGAGAGTGTAAAGAACAAGTGAATGGCAGCCTGACATGGTACATCGCCACTCCCACGCAATCAAAACACTCAATGACAAACGTCCCAACGCACTAAATAGACACTCATCCATTTTGTCCACTTCCCGAGTCTGATGCGAGAGAAATCGAATTGATTCACCAACATTTCTACTGACACCAGGTTTGCAACAGCATCTAGAAATATATTAACAAGGAAACTAAAAGTTCTAAAACTAAGGCAACATGTCGGAGGAACATGTTATGTGGAAGCGCACGGGCAAAGATGTTTACAGTTTTAACTACAAGAAAGCAGAACAGAGCACCAGCAGCTGGCATGCATTTGAGACCAAATCAACTGATAACCAAAGAGAAAAAGAAAAAGTAGATATAAATATAAATAGCAACTGTTTGTTTCTACAGATTCCATGAATTTTCTTTCTCTTTTCATTCTCGAACTGCGGTGGTCTCAAAACGCCTGGCTGGACTGCCATGATAGGCAACATCGAAGCCTAGTAGTTCTCTCATCAATATCCATCATGAACCTTTTCAGCCAATCCCAGATACTGCAAAAACCACCTCCCACACAGCAAATGAAGCAGCACTCTCTAGTACAGTTAATTATCTAATAGAAGTAAATCGAAATATTGATAAAAAGACGGCATGAAAACTGGACGTGCTATGCAAAATTAGATGCAATGCCAGGCTTGATGCTTGCATTTGATTTGACCTCCATCAATGCCGAAAAATGCGACTTCACAAAGATGGTTCCTCACAACTACCTCAGCAGATCCCTTATCTGCTTATGTGGTCATTACCGCTGAATGTGCCTCTACAGGGTGCATTACAACTTCGAGGATGACTGTAGGTCAACTGAACATTTTTTTTTCTAGCTTTTGTTTTCATCATTGTTATTTCCCTTCTTCCCATTTTCACTGCTCTCTTTATATGCCAACAGCATTGTTAACAGTTTCTTTTAAACATTTTTGCGTAAATTTTAGCAAATGGAGTACTACTCAATGCTGAAAATCATAGCTACAGGGTTTTTGTTGGAAGTGAAACTGAGTAAGGTAGGTAAGGTAGGCATTGGTAATCATGAATATGTTTTCATCAATGACTTAAATAAACAAATTAGGGGTAGAGAGTCAATCAACTTTACTAATTACACAAAATAACCGATGCCCTTAGCAATGATTTGAGCAATAAGGACCGAAATTGTTTTTTCTTAATCGAAACTTGATCCCGGATAGTGAGACATGGGCACTAAAGCAGCGAGTGGCTTTCCTGGGCTCAAATAATTGTGCTACAAATTAACTGTGTGCACACACAGGAGCAAGTTGATGCCTTTAGAGGAAGCGTGTAGGAATACACCAAAAGTATGCTCTCCTTCGTTGAAGTATTAGAGTTGCAGTGTCACATTCAGTCTAAAAAGACATGGCATGCAAACACGCACACAAGAAGGATGTCGGGACACCACAGTCCCGTTGTGTCTGTATTTACACGCCCTGTCTTTCTAAAATAAATATGTACCAACCACCTCAGCTATCTGTTATTCTAAGTCACGTACAACTACCATAAACATCTTTACTACAATTGTATACGAATATCAAATTCATAAAACTGTTATTAGATCTTAAACAAGTCCATGTAAAATAGGATTTACGGCTGATTTTGGACTGCTTTAACCTCGCACACAAGTATTTTCAAGTGGAGTTCATGCCTGTCTTTATGCAAGCTAGATCAATCGGAGAGATGCTTACACCATAGCCTTCAATAACATGTACACTGCATCCAATACCAAGAAACTGAAATATACAGCAGTCGAGTGGCCATGTGGTAACTGAGCAGGCACATAACTGCACTCCCAAAATCTGCCCATAATTCCATACTTGGCATAAAACAACATCCAACAGCTTGGTGCTCAATTATTAATTGAGGTGCTCTCTCGAAAGGAGTGTTCTTACACCACTGCATACGGTGCGTATAATCTTCGCTTTGAAACTTTGAGAGAAATTTTAATACCTCCCCCTGACTGGCATATCTCTTGCAGAACTTTCGTTTAGCAATTGCTGCAGAAACTCTGAACTCCCAGGTCAATGTTGTGAATACTGAAATTGAAGCCCAATTGGGAAAAAATGCCGAGGCCTTTTAGTTAGAAAAATATTTAAGCAAACTACACCTACTTCAAGCACACTAGCTATGGAGGGGACAACACCTCTCCAATAACTTAGGCAACATATACATGTTTCAACCTCGACTTTCAATCAGCACTCCGCCCACGCCTCTTCAAGCCACCCGCTTTATCTGTCCAAGAGGTTTTACAAAAGCAGACAGACAGATGTTGAAGGTGTAAGTTAAATAATCAGCACAGAGAAGTCCAGAGGTTACGACAACTTGAGGCTATCCATCCTGAACAATAATTAAGAGCAGCAGAAAAACGCTGCCCTGTGCCCGCAGGGAGTTTTCATTGTTGCCTTCAAGCATCAATAACAAAATTAAAAAACGAAAAACTCATTTACGCAGGTGGCATAACTAAATTTCAACAAAATGTGCATTTGAACTCGCATCTGTAGCGAGCAAAGAAAACCCTATCAGTGACATAAAAAATTTGCAGGTTTCTTTGTTGCGAGTTCAACTGAGATATACCATATTTACTCGAATGTAAGGAGAGCTCTTTCTTTCCAGATTTTTGTTTACCTCCAGTAGACCTTCGTGTTACCATGAAATACTGAAATTTGAGTTGTGTAAAACATGCATTGATGCCCACAATTGTTTCATTATTTTTGTTTTACGAACTTTTCAACTTGAAAGTCATCCATGACGTTACAATCGTGGTCACGTTACAATCGAGTAAATACAGTATGACCTTCCATACGCTGAGTGCAAAATAAGAAATGCTACAAGAATAAATTCAAACCTCTATTCCCTGCCCACAAGGTAGATAAGGCAGGGAAACAAACTAAGCTCTCCCAGTGAACATGCCTATGGCAATGTTTAGGAAGTGTTTAACTTAATCTAATTCGCTGACTTTGTTTACTGCTTCACTCACACTGGTGATTTACTCTAGCTTCTGCTAAAAACTAGAAAACAATGGTCACTAATATTTCTGTGGCAGGCCAGTGCCATTTTCTGGCACCAGAGAGGCTACAGGTAATTATGATGGTATTATTACGAAAGTTACTGCAATGTTTGTACCACGACGAAACCTGAAACTGCAGTTTCATGAAGGTGCACATAACGAAGAGCTTCCACAAAGCATAAAATATCTATATCTAAGCACTCCTCAAGTTCTGTAAAACAAAGTACAAGAACTATTTCCTTTCCACATTTACATATTTAAAAACCAGAGGAAAAAAAAGAAAGAGTTGTAAGTATTACAATTTGAACTGGGAATCACACACTTTGTTCCTTTCTTATAAAGAAAAAAAAAAACATGAAATTGAAAATACAAGAAATCAGTCATGTTCCTTCGAGAGCATAATCAGTGAACTACTTGAACCTTCTTCCATCTGTCAGGTACCACAAGTGCAGGAAGCTTAAAGGGCAGGAAATAATGTTCTATGTCCAAAAAAGACAAAGAAAGGAAAAAAAAAAAGCATAGCTGGCCTTTCATCAATGTCCTTGCACGCAACTGCAAGTCTCGGTACAACTGCCCATTGAAAGCAACCTTTGCATGGGGTTGCTGGAAATCACAAGTCCACGCACACAAGATGTACACAAGAGGTGCTTCCAAGTTTCCACTATCTCTGTGTACACACGTAAAACGTGATCAACTCTCTTTGGACCACAGAGGAGATCTTCACATAGGAGTGCCGCTCCTCAAGACGCAACGAGCACATTTCTACCACACTGAACTCACCGGGTGTGAAAGCTTATATAAATAAATAAAAAAATCCTGTTTTGAGGACTCAAGTGACGTGACAGAGCTTGGGGAGTTTCACTCTCCATTGACAAGCCAGCAAATGGTCTCACGAGCGCTTAATTAACACCAGGATCTCCCCCCTCCCCCAACCCCCCGAAACTGCGCGCCCAGGCTTGTGAAGCAGTGCCACCCTTTCACACCCAGCGCTCTAGTAAAAGTGCTTCGAAAGCACAACCTGCAAAAGCGAAGTTGGAGCATTTCAAAGGTGACAACCCATGGGACCAAAATGGCGAGACTGTCTAGCTTCAGAAGAGCACAAAAAAACCGCCACCACTTACCCCTTGCCCTCATTCCACACACATCCACGCTTTTCAAGCAGATAACAAAAAAAAGAAAACAGAAGTCACTGAGTCAGTGAAAGGTGTCACAGGCTACAGCAGCAACAAAATAAACAGGAACAGTTTGTGCACAATACACATGAACAGGCACTCTTTTGGAAGCTTCAGCAATGGAATGAATTGTCAAAGGCAGCAGAAAACACCGGTAGGCTTTGTTTTTCGTAAGAGTGAGGAAGACGTTCACAGTTCCAGGATGGTTGGGCTGCCAATCTCACCACACTATGCGAAGCTCCTTTATCAATCTGTTCACCAAAATGATAGAATGGAGCACAAGGACAGCTACAAAGACCAACAACGGCTCCTGTCACTCCACAAACAGACCAATGACTGTGAAGCACACTGACTGTAAAGAGGAAGGATGACAATTACCTTCGTGCAGTTGACCTTGTGTAAGAAAGCCGTTAACTTCTTGCATCTCATGTTCAGACTGATTGTAAAGCTATGCCAAGAACTCGTCTATGTGCTGGTTATAACAGTTCAGTGAATGAAATGGCAGGTGCAGATAAGTTGCATGCTCAGTGCACAAGTGAAAGTCCTTTAAATTAAACCAGCACTGAACTCTGAGTCTGTTAATGAACAAGAAAAAAAATACAAGAGGTGGCAAGGGCAGCTATGATAGGCTTTAATTCATTGGAAAAAATAGAGGGAGAAAGAAAAAAAAAATTAGGGTTGAAATGTATCATCATCCATCATTTGACACAAAATGAATGATGATGACTACATAAACTAATAAGCATAGCAGCTTACAAATCAATGCCGTGAGCAGTATAAGTGCTACAGCAAACCAACATGCCATGTTGCGAATTCTGCTGCTGAGCAGAGAGAACTATTAAACCTTGCCACAGATCTTTTCCTTTCTTATCAAGTAGATCATCTACTGAGAAATACGTCCCTGATAAATGAAATTAACTTACAGGGACAGAGCAGCTGCTAGAAACAAGTAAAGAACACAGAGAACAAAAACATGCTGCCTTTCTTGCAGAATTTGACAACATCAGGCTCATCGCAGTGAAATCTTTACACCTGCCTTCCACGGACAGAAGCAGCCAGTAGGCGTTGTCAAGACAGCAGGAAAACAAAATGGCAAGAAGTGTTGTCGCTCTAACTTTCTTGCATCCGCGACACATCGAGCTCTCCAGTCTGGAATGGAACACCTACGACACCCAACAGGGTTGAAGTGCAACAGACCCTCGAAGTCCTGCCATATTCAGGCAAAAGGAAGAAGCTGACCGAGATGAAGAAAACAATCGTGATTCGGGGAACACACAAGCACCAAAAAGGTTACTCGAGTTTTTCTGTCGCTGTTTACAAGTGCATCGTTGGCAAATAAGTTCTTCTCTACAACAACAATGAAAAGAGCGCTGAGAGACTCTGTCAGAGCTCTGTGCCCCAGCTTCAAGCATGGTGCAAGATATTCTTTGGGCAGGCAACACAAAGACAGCCGGTGGGGTGCTCGTGAGAAGGCAACACAAGTGGAAACGAAAAAGGAGGAGGGAACAAGACTGCACTCCACCACTGCGGAAAGTCATCGCCAAACAGGAGGAAGGGGGTGTCACTGGGCCGTGCCAACACTAGACGAGGTTGCCGGTTGGGCCACCACGTTGGGAAGGCTGACTACGACGAGAGGCTTGACAACCGCAGTGGCACCAGCATGGTGGTGGTGGTGGTGGTGGTGCGCGTTGCCACCGCTGGTGGCTGCCGCTGCTGCTGCTAGGGGACCAAGACCCGGCGAGAGGAACTGCTGACTCAGCAGCGTGGGCAGGTGGCCCACGACTGAGATGGGTGCCATGAGTGGAATCTGTCCCGTGGGCGCAGTGGCGGCAGCCACATGGGTCACGTGGGCTGCCAGTTGGGAGAGCGCGGGACTGCTGCCTCGTACAGGTTTCAGGGTGCCCACTGCATTTTCAGGAAAAGAGTTTAAATATAATAACAACAGCGTAGCACAAACACGCTGGTTATGTAGCATTACATTAAATAATTTGGCTAATTAAATACCATAGCTTTTGAATATGTGCCACGTGTGAATGTGAATACGGGATAGAATGAATGGCTACTCAGTACCTACGGTGCACAAATAAACACACATGCCACTGGTTAAATGTCGGCCCTGTATGAACACCTGAATGAATATGACAGCACTATTTAAATTCATGTCAAAATTCATTAAAATTTCCGTAAAAATTGAAGGATTTAAAAAAAATGAATAGACTAATTTCACCACATTTAAAGAACTTGGAATGGTAATTTCACCAAATTGTGGTGCTGCTATGCTGTGAACCAGTCTTGTGGGGAAATCTGCACTGCCATGTAGTCAAACTTTAAGGTTAAATGTGTCCCAGTTAATTATTTATTTCTTGAAGTTTAAGAATGTGTTATGGGCACATACAGGCTAAGCAAAGCAAATTATAAACAGTAATGTATTTCGTGACTCATACCATACACCATACCACTATTTAAATCCAGGCATGATGTAAATTTGCTTTGAACTAAAGCATTTCAATATTTTCGCGCCAGGGAAAGAACAGCAGAACAACCAGACACGAATGCCAGACACAAACTAATGGCTTGGGCTCTTCATCCTAGTCTGTTCTGGCTGGCCACAGTTTGTCCACTCGAAACAACGGGAGACATTTAATTACTATTTATTTGTTTGTCGATATGGTGCAAGACACTAAAGGTGGCATTAAGAGTCACCTGTATGGGCCTCCAGAACGAAACAGTACATTTGTCACACAATGCAACTGCATAAGAAAGAAGAAATGCAACAGTACATTAACATTTTGAGGAAGAAGGAGAAACCTATAAAAATACTCACAGTTTTGCCGCAAGGGCAAAGCTATGAATGCAATAGCAAGAAATCGAAATGGCACACAAAGAAGCACAAGCTGCATCGCACTGAACGGCTTCAAGCAGGTGTGTGAGTGGTTTTTGAAGTCTAAATGGCCAAGATAGAGATAAAAAATACTGAACTTGCACAAAAGGCATGGAATTGTTCAGGAATAATTCACAGTGAATAGGTGGCACCTTCTAATTGGAGCTTCAGAAATAGATCTATAGCATTCGTTTGGCTTGGTTACACACACTGTTATTGAAATATAAGATGTTTACCCAAGAGGTTAGCATTAGAAATGGGTGAATATTCGACATTTCAAATATTTTCGTAATATTGTTTGCTGTACAATTCAATTCCCGCCAGAATTTTTCCATTCGAATCATTCAAACTTCCCGAAGACACAGTCAACGTCCGATCGGCAGTGGCCCTTTCGGATTTTCAATATGGTTCAGGCCATCACACTCCCATATTGGGCAAAGCTGCCTTTCAGGCTCTGCTATGGTCACAAATGCATTTATTTGAGAAAATGTTGGTTCCAACATGGAGACTATAGATGTGGCCAAGACAGGGGCTCCGTTACTGCCATTCTAAGTCTTAAATTTGGGCAGGAAATCCAAGAAATTAGACGCTGAAGATTTTTAGCATCTAAAATTCTTGTATCCTGACATCTAACAGGCAGATTTGGAACTCCCAACTAGAAGAAAGCAAGCACAAACTTTTCAGCCACATCAGTTTGGTTTCCAGAGAAGTTGAAAAAGGATGAGAGGCTGTGGAGATAACACAGCCTTTCGGAAACACTGACTTTGGTTGCACCAAAGCCCTGGCAAAGCAGACGAGAAAGGGAACCGACGCCCCGGACAACGGGAGCGGAGGAGCCCGAGTATCCAATGCCTAGCCAGAGCACAACGTCCTCAAGATCTAGAGCCTGGGACTATAGGACTATTAGCTATAGTCTTTAGATAGGGAATACCCGCGCCCTGCGCGGACTTCCCGCACGCCGGATGCACAAAAAATGTTGTTTCTCTCTCTCTTTGGTTGCACCAAATCATGCACATAAATGGAATTCGGCCACTGCATTGCACCATTAGAGAATTTTATTGCTGGGTACCCAAGTGGCTTGAGTACTCAGGACATTGGGGTGGCGATACTGCGTATGCACAAAGCCACAAACATGTGCGTCGCCAGGTCGCTGGGGCTGTGCGTCTGTGCCGCAACAAACACAGCTGTCACAACTGGTCTCTCAGTGGAAGATAGCTGCCGCTAGCGGATCATGTTACCCGTGACGTCAGCCACGTTCACGGCAAGCCAAGCCGAGACTGGCCAGAGCCATCCGCTCGACTCCCGAACACAAAAGTGCCGAATCTCAAAAAGCATGGCTCGGTCGTTCTTCATGATGTCACCTCCAGCGAAGCAGCGCAGTGTGAAGCTTTACTTCACTCCAGGAAGGGCATTTTTCTCTTGCGTGAGGTAATGGCAACAGACGACGATGACTACAAGTTCTCTTCATTTATGCAGAGTTAAATTGTTGTCGTACTATGACCACCCATCTAGATTGCTACGCATCAGCGGCACCAGCTTTAGTCGTAACTGCAGTACATACGACAAAGGATTTTTTTTTTGTCTCGAGTTGATAGCTTAGTCATATTAATTAAGAACCTTTTATTGAAAGTAATCACTTCATGTCACTATCTATGCTTGGTTCAACATTGTAAACTAAAAATAAAAATAATGCATGTGTGACAAAACGCTATGACACTGCGAGTGCATGTGACCTTCACGCAGGTCGCATTTGTATATGCACCGCTATAAAGCATTCCGGTGGGGTACGCAACGCCATGCACCCCCAAGTCCGCGAAGCCCCAAGTGCTTGCGTACCCAAAAATGGAAGCCTCTATTGTTTATAAGACAATTATAAAACAGAACCCCGCCAATGCTTCATCAACCTAGCCATATGAAACACTATCATGCAGTGAACATATAAGCATATGCTTCGGAATCCTTTCTAAGACTATTTTTCCGGCAATTTTGCTTCGAAGTATATGAAAAATACCGTAAAATTCCGAGCAAGTGCCCCCACCCAAGCAAGCACCCCCCTCCTAGTTTTGGGAATTTGAATTTGCTGCCCACTTCTAGATGTGCCAATACTAGATGTGCAAGGCGGGGATCCACAGTCGCACTCGCTGCCTGCGCGTCAGGGCACAAACTTCTGGCCTTCGTTATTTTGAAGGAGCCGAGCAGCAGGATTCTAAGGAAAGCTTTCACGAAAATCCATGTACCAGGTGGGTTTTCTATTTTTTTTATTTTCCTTGTTAGTGGGGGGTAGCGAGATCATGCTATATTAATATTATTTTTTTCTTATAGTGAATGTCCATATGACAGCATCGAAGAACGGGTGGATGACATTCGAAAAATTCTAGGAGTGGCTGTCAGGGGCGTGGGGTTCAAACACCGACGACGTTAGGCAGTTGTTGGTATTAGACCAAGCTCCTATTCACAAAACACAGGCAGGAAAGAATGCCATAGATGAGCGAGATACAGACATTGCATACGTGCCGGCTGGATGCACAAGTCTATTGCAGCTAGCCGACGTGTACTGGAACCAGTCTTTCAAAGCCAGCCTTCTGAGGAGCTGGGAGGAATTCATGCGCATAGCAGTAAAAAATCCAAAAGGAAATCTGCAGAAACCGTCGCGTCAGGACGCACTGAATTTTGTGGCAGCAGCATGGGACGCTGTATCAGAGGCAACCATTATTCAGAGTTTCAAGGGCTGCGGAATATCGAATGCACTGGATGGATCGGAGGAGGGCCTTCGACACGGCCGGTTGTCCGGCATTGGCGACACTCGTCCAGAACATACCGAGGAACTGCAGGCTGAATGTTACAGCCTGTTGTTTGACACCGACTCTGACGGGTCCTTTGATGGATTTGAAAGTGAATAAACAATCATAGAAAATTTACCTATAAAGCTTGTGTTCACTCTGTACGTTGCTGTAAGAAGCCTTTATCATTGTTTAGAAAAAAAAAATTGGCCGCCATCTTGAATTTCGCAGCACTCCTGTGCAAGCGCCCCCTCGCCTTCACCGTGGTCATTATCACCACATCCAGGGGGGGGGGGGGGGGGGGGGGGCGCTTGCTCGGAATTTTACAGTATTCAAGAAGTATATGAAAAATATTGGATTCAATTCGCATTTGCAGTTCAACATCGAATCCCATTCCCAACCAAAATGTTGCTATTTACACAGCTCTAAGACCAGTCCCTGGCAGTATACAGAGGGCCCTGAGATGAGAGAGCGGAGAGGAATGGCCTCCCGGCTCCAACGTGGGATTAGCAGACAGCAAGGCAGGCGCCCTTTGTAGGACTGTACTGGCTGGCTCATCAGGACCGTAATAAACTTGATCTTTCTGTCTTTCGCACAGCTCTAGTTTTCTTTTGTGCAGCATAAAAAAGAATGCTGGCCTTTATTTTTATTTTCTAGGATACTTAAAATTGTGCATGCTCGGCATTCATAGCTCCTACTTAATTTGTAGAGAATTGTCAAAATGGAGTTTTATTCATTTATTGTCATTAGTTTATAGGTTATGCACATTTATTCTTACAAAATTTTTTTTTTAGCGAGATAATATGAGCATATGGTCTTCTGTAAAGCTAAAACAAAAGAGCAGTTAAATTTTGACATAAGAAAGTTGGTAAGACTGGCATTTTAACGCATTACATTCAAACTTTGTCATGTTAAGATCCAATCTCCTAAGACAACTTAATTATTTTATTCTCTTTATTATTTATTTTTATTCTTTTCTGCCAATGGACACACAAGAAAGCACAAATTAAAAGGCTGCCTGCAGGAAGTACTACAGTAAAACCCCTAGCAAGCTATACTCACGGACAACTTTTTCTTGGTGATGCAGTGAAGGCTACAGAGCTTAATCGCACGTATCCTACCATCAATGAATGTAGTCCTACAATTGTGACCTTATTTTCTACATGAGATATGAAAAATACAGGCTTTATTTTTCGCATGAAACTTTTTTGACACAGAACACAGCTCACACCAGTGAGTAATCATATTTGTTTCAATTTATTCCTTGACACTTTTCATTTCTGAATGCAGAAGAAAGCCGCGCCATTTACATATAACTTGGACGCCCAGCAGCGTCTGCGTCAATACAAAACGCTCATCACGCACAGCCACCGCTTTACTGAGTGGTATGGAACACATGACATACCAGACTACTTTGCACAGTGATATATCGGCTGGCATCCAGCGAGCACCATGTTAAATCCTCTCCTGTTTTTCATGCAGCTTGCTCTGATCGTCTCGACTACCGAAGCCAGCACAGCGAACACGGTATCCACACCTGTTCCACGAGCAATCCAACCCTTGCGCAACCTCGCCGATAACAAGGAGCCAAGATATGAACGCCCCATTTTCATCGGATTTCTTCAGTGGACACGTCGGCTGGCATCCAGCGAGCACCATGTTAAATCCACTCCTGTTTTTCATGCAGGTTAGTAACAATGCTTCCACAATTAAATCCAATGACATTTGCCTTGTCCAGCTGACGTGCCCACGTAGACTTACTGAAATGTACTTTACTGCCTGTGACTTCGTCTTGTCGCTACTCATGCTATATGGTGACGTCGAGCCTGATCCAGGGCCTACCACTTAGCAGGTTCTAGCTGAACTGCTTGAGGGCCAGAAAAATATTCAACAAAGGCTGGGGGATATTGACGTCAAACTGCGGAAAGTTGATGAAGCTTCATCTGCGATAAATGAAATCAAGCATTTAACGCATGACATATATTTACGAGTTACAGTTTTAAAAAGAAAGCTTGTTGACCTAGAAGATTACAGCAGGCGTAACAACCTAATTATTTTTGGTATAGCTGAAAAACCAAAAGAAATGTATGAAGAACTGTCGCAGCTTGTGTTGAAGGAAGTGTTCACTGATAAATTAGGTATAAAAGTTACTTCGGCAGAAAAAATTCACAGATTGGGTCGGAATCAACCTAACAAGCATCGACCGGTTATTATCAAACTGTTTGATCATCGTGAGAAATTAAACATACTGAAACATTGCTTTAGACTAAAGGGCAGTAGCTACTCCGTATCGAAAGACTACTCCCCTACTACAAGGCAGGCACGCAAGAAACTATGGCAAAGCACTGCGGAGCTTCTGAGGGCGGGTCAGAAGGTCAAGTTAATCTCGAACAAAATAAATATTGGTGAAGAACTATTCACTTGGGATGATGCGCATGACGAGAGAATCCCGGTGCACGATAGCAGAGATAAGACAAAAAGAAGGCAAAGAAAGCAATGAACTGACACCAGACACAATGAATCAGAAAACCTAACGCTTCTGTGTTTTAACGCCAACAGCCTTGTAAATAAGTTGATTGACTTCAGTTGCCTAGTACAGAGTCATAGTCCGTCAATTATATGCATCACTGAAACCTGGCTTAATGAATCCATCTCTGAAAACGAATTTCTGCCCTCTGGTTACTCGTTTTTTCGAAACGACAGGTCGAGTGGTCGAGGTGGTGGCGTTGCCCTTTTTATCAAAAACGACATTGAATATAAAACACTGCCTGATCTCCTCAAAACAGAGTCTGTCTGGTGTAAGATCAGGGTATGCGGCATGTTTGTAGTGATTGGAACTGTTTACCGGCCATCAAGTGAAGATGACCATTGCATATTGGCAATCACGAACTATATCGTTAAACAGGGACTTCTTGACAGCAAACTGATCCTATGCGGGAACTTCAATGTACCCCACATTAACTGGGAGTCTTTCACCACGACCGGCCGTGACAAAGTTCTCTGTAATTCAATGATTGACTTCGCTGTATCCCATGATTTTATTCAAGTTGTTCAAAGTCTCACCAGAAGTGGTTCAATCCTGGACCTTGTTTTCGTTACAGCTGACCTATTGAATGATGGTTCAGAGTGCGAGGTTGTAGAAGGTATCTCGAATCACAATGCAGTCTTTGTCCAATTTTCTATTTACTACGAACTTAAGAAACCAGAATACAAAGTTCTTACTGATTTTTCACGTGCCAACGATGAAGGCGTACTTTCCTTGCTAGTAGATTCTTATGCAAATTTTCTTCTTTCCAGCAACAGTTGTGGTGTTAATGAGTTGGCGAAACACTTTGGCACGATTGTGTCTGACTGCATATCTAAATTCGTGCCAAACAAATGCGTGAAGCGCAATCTTAAACACCCATGGTATAACCGAGAAATAATAGTTTATTCGCCGCATAAAGCGACCACGTCACCAATGCCGCTCTAATCCAAACTACCAATTCACTTTGTGTATGCTAAAGGCAACACTCAAAAATAAAATGCATGAAGCTAGAGATTTCTATTACAATAACACGCTGTCGACGTTCATCAGGGAAAATCCGACCAAATTTTGGAAGACAGTTAATCCACCCTCCAGGAGAACCTGCTCTTTCATTATTGAAAACGAAATATGTTCAGATGCTCAGACGATCTCGGATGCCTTCAATAGTTATTTTAAGTCTGTTTTTACTGCTGATAACGGCAATGTTCCTTCTTTTGTCGCACCCTCTGTATCGGTAGCTATTTCGGATATTGAGTTAAGTTGCTCTGGAGTTCGTAATCTCTTACTCAACATAGATATTACTAAAAGTGCTGGCCCGAACGGTATCCCTAACGCTTTTTTGAAAAGGTATTCTGAATGGTGTGCACGATACCTCATAATTATATTCCAGAAATCGCTTGACTCCGGACGGGTCCCGTGAATTTGGAAGATCGCTTATGTTGTTCCTATTTTCAAATCGGGTAAGAAGGAAATAATTTCTAAGTACAGACCAATTTCATTATTATCCACGTGCTGCAAGCTACTTGAGCACAACATTCACAAGCACATTATTCAATACCTAACTGACAACAATATCCTTTCAGAGCATCAGCATGGTTTCTGCAATGGTTTTTTGACTGTCACACAATTGATCGAATTTACACATGACATCGCCTCATCACTTAATAACCACGAACAAGTCGATGCCATTTTTATTGATTACTGCAAAGCTTTTGACAAGGTATGTCATAAAAAACTTCTGCTCAAACTTGGTAACCTTCTTACAGGCCATAATGCTGACAAATTACTAGATTGGATTACAGATTATTTGTACCTGAGGAGTCAGTTTGTTCGCTACAACCATGAACAGTCGTCACAAGCTCATATTTCTTCAGGTGTTCCACAAGGCTCTGTCTTGGGAACCCTTTTATACATAATTTACATTAACGATGTCACTCAGGTTGTCATTAACACTCCAGTTAAGCTTCGCCTATACGCCGATGACTGTGTATTGTATTCGAATGTACGTAGCGTCACTGACCAAATTTTGTTGAATGATGTGTTTTCTTCCTTTTGCGAATGGAGTAGAACTTGGCAAATGGAGCTTAATTCTCAGAAGACTGTGACAATAACTTTTACAAATAAAAAGGAGCCATTGCAATTTAGATATGACGACTCCAATCACACAGTGGAAAAAGTTCAGGAATTTAAGTATCTTGGTGTTCTATTCTCTCCACACTTGAAGTGGCACAAACACATCGACCTTATTTCTGCAAAATCGCTTAAGAAATTAGGTTACTTAAGAAGAACACTAAAGGGCGCCACAAAAGAATGCAAGCTTATAGCCTTCAAATCACTGGCCAGGCCTCTTCTTGAATATGCGTCTGTTGTGTGGTCACCACATCTTGCAATTGACATAAATAAACTTGAGGTCATCCAGCGAAAAGCGATTAGATTCATTTTTAACCGTTATGACCATGATTTCTCCCCTTCTGAGCACTGCCATGCTTTATCGCTAAACTGTTTAAAACAAAGACGTATGTGTGATCGGCTTATCATGCTACATAACATCGTGCACAATTCCGTCCGCATAGCCACACCCATTTCGTTCACCCATCATCCTACCCAGGTAACTTGCCGATACGATCCGTTGAACATTGTGCCATTCAAATGTTTTATTGATTTTTATAAATACTCTTTTTTTCCGTGCACAGTTGACACTTGGAATAATCTGGACACTACTTTGAAACGACTACCGCATGCGCTGTTTGTTGAACAAGTGTCCAATTTTGTAAATTGATGTTCTTAATTTTTCTGTTGTTCCTTTTGCTTGATCTTTCATTGTTTGTTGAACAGGTGTCTAATTATGCAATTTTATGTTTTTTATTTGTGCTGTTTTTGCTCGTTTATTGTAACCACTCCTGCAATGTCTCAAACATGAGACAGCAGTATCTGTGAATAAATAAATAAAAATGTGCAGAAGTTTCACTCGTGCAGCTTTCCCTTCATTGCCAAGAAAAGTTGTCTGCGAAATCACTAGTACAGAAAATGGAAAGCGCCAACATACATCCCTTTTTTCTTAGCTGAAAAAAAAAAAAGACAAAAGAGAGTTTCTGAGACATTGCTGAAATGAAGGCAGTGCAAAAATATTCAGAAAGTATCTGCAACACTTTCTCTTTAAAACACTGCACGGAACCGACACAGCAGTGTTGGTACACCAGATGAACTCACCTGTAGAATTAGACAGCACCGTTGCACCAGTCACGCGAGGTGTTAGGATTTGCGGCAGGCCTCGTCGGACGGTGGGTGTTGTCACCACAGTGGCCGTAGGTGGCCCAGCCACCGCCACAACGGGCTGGGGGTTCGAACCGACAGCCGCCATCGTTGCGGCCACTCCACCTTGCGGCCCTCCGAGAAAGAGAGACTTTGCTGCTGTCACCAAAGTGACGGGAGAGGGGCCCGTCGTAGGTGTCTGACGACCGATGCCAGACGGTGCCGCACTGGTTGTCACACGCACCAGTGACTTGCCTGCTGTCGGTTGTGCTACAGACCCCGCTGCCGTAGAAGCTGCCATAGCGAGAGCCACAAGGGGACTACCACCTACACCCGGCGAGGAAACGGCACCAGGAGCGGATGCACCTGCGGTGGGTCCACTGGTGGCTGTAGCCATACCTATCACTTTCACTGTGCCACTGGGGCTGGCCACCACTTGCACTGTGCCCGCCGGGATGCTCGGCCCCATGGCAGCAGTTCCGCTGACAGAGGTGGGACTTGCCGAAACGAGGCCTAGACTTGCCGGTGTGGTCACCACCTGCGACTGCAAGTAAAAGCATAACAAATATATACCTGTGAATGACGTATGAACACTTCATAATTATGAGTGGCCCTTCTACTTCCTGCATGGTGCACACACCTGTTGGAGTCGGTATCACACTGCAAGAATGAGAATGCAGTAGAACCACATTCATAGAATTCTAAGGGATGTGTGAATATTTCTACTTTCAAGTATTTTTCGAATAGTGTATGCTATTTTCTTCGATTTGCACGAAAATTTTACTACAGTCGAGCCTGCTTATAAAGAACCTGAGCGTGACGCGGAATTTGTTCACTGTATCCTGAAGTTCGTGGTATATGAAACACAGCTTTTAAAAAAAGTCGCGAGTGAAAACAATTCTTGCCCCAAAAAGACGTGTTTCGAAAAGCAGAAGCGATAAGGGCGGTCTCGAGTTTATTTAAAACGGCGGAGTGCTCGTTCGCCGAGGCCCGTGGCATAAGCTGCATGAGGCGCTGGCTTCAAAGCTTGCATCCGATTCCGCAATCCGATTCCTCCAAATCGCTCGCAACGTACTTCATTCACAATGCCCCAATCCGTGCACGGTTCCGCAGTGTCGTCATCATTATCTGCTGTAATTAAACCATCGCAAAATATGTCCCACCCTCTCTCCCAGGTCAGAGTTGACGACGCGCTGCCACAAATTGCTGCCGCAGTGGTCCTGTTTGGAAGCTTCAGGCTCGGCGGCAGGCCTGACGTCAACGAAGTCGGCCTCGCGAAAACAGTTTCGCGCGCATGTAGCTGTCACTGCTGCTCACGAAATATTCACCATCGCCACAGCTGAAAACCGGGACGCCCAAAGCGGCAAGTTGGCTGCCAGGTGGTCAAAAGCTATGAGCAAGCGCTCTGCAATGCGGCACCTAACGCATGGATTACGCTCAAGCCAAGCGGTCACACTTTCAACGTTTTGTTGAGTGGCAAGAAAAAGCGTGCTAGTCCTTCCGTCGGCCATCATGACCACACACACACACACCAAGAGCGAGCAAGATGCGCACGCGCGACATGCATGCCAGAACGCATGGAACAGCTCTGGGCCCGTTTCGAGTCAGAAAATGAAACTAATTCGAGCAAGCATGGCGGACGTCGCGGAGTGGTGGAGACGGGCGAAGGTGTTGTGATCAAGACAGGAGAGCAGACTTGCGAGAGAAGGGCAAGGAGTTGGGATAAAGAGAGGAGGGTGTGGCGGGAGGGCGACCTTGAACACACGGGATCTATCGCCATCTATCGCATGGCGGTCGTCACTCAAAATTCGGCCTTGGGGCGAGACACATGCGCCACACGGCGCAAACAACTTTACAGGGGGTGCAGCACCCCCACATTTTTCCAACCTTAAATCAAACCATATCCCGAAAACAAAGATCAGCTTTAATAAAAAAAAATGACATGGCATGTCCTTAATGTCCTTGCACCACGACACCGCCGCTGGTCGACACTGCTGCACTGTCCGGCTCGACTTCACCTCAGTACCGGCCCCACAACAGCAACGTTGCTGTCGGCGCGACGAACTGTCGCTAGCGCCGACACGTCTTCCAATTGCGACCAGCACTTACGAGGGCGCCGGACCCAATAACACGACAGACAAACACACATTAACACAACCAGGCTAACACACCCAAGGCGGCATTGCCAACACTTGACTTACCACGAGGGCCCCCGGCGCGCAGGCCCGCGGTGCCACGCTGAGGACCCACGCTAGAGACAACCGTTCGCGGCAACCGCCATGCGCAGAAGAGGCTCGCTCAACTCTCACCCGTCACCACGGCCTGCCTTCTGCTAGGGGTCATTGCCCGCGCTACCACTCTACCAACAGTGGCACTCAACGCGAACACAACGCCATCTATCACACGGTGGTCGTTACCCAAAATGTGGCCTTGGGGCGAGATGGGCGCCACACGGCGCAAACAACTTTACAGGGGGTGTCAGCACCCCCCACAACATGAAATGAATCACAAATTATCAGAGTCGGTGGGGTAGCGTACGCGCGTGCACTAGATGCAGACTATTGGATACAGTCGGTGGCCGACGATGTTAGCAAATGGTCTGGTCACTCCAGGCCGGTGACGTCAACGACAGTACCAGCGATCAAAAGCAGGGTAGATGGCCAACCGGTCTTCGAAAGATCGGTGGCAGTGTGAAAACACGGGCCTCATTTGACGATGCGGGGTGCTCAGAGTAGCAAGGGGACAAAGAATGGAGGGGTGCTTAACAGAAAGCAGTCGGGGGCATGGAGGAAGGAAACAGCTTTCCTTCCTCCATGGGTTGGGGAGAGCGGCAACAAGAGGGTCGCGGAGGCAGGGGCGGCGTTAAACAATAAGAATGTATGGGCAACTCTCCGATGCCTGATCAGTGGTCAAAATTGGTTTCCCGGGAAGTCGGCAGACTGCTGACTCCGTTCGCTGTAACCGATCAGCGACGCTCGGAGATGTTCGTTGTAAGTGCGATTTTGTGCCATTGAACAAATTTATATTTTCATGGTCACACGGATATTGTTTGTTTTTAAGCGAAAGTTCCTTTTAAGTGGGGCCATTCTATGTGGGCTCGACTGTATTAGAAAGTATTTTGATTTCTGAAAAAATAATTTATAGTAACGAATACACCCAACCATTACATATAGCCTTTATAGATTACAAGAAGGCATTTGATTCAGTAAAGATATCAGCAGTCATGCAGACACTGCGGAATTAGGGTGTTGACGAAACATATACAGACAGACACCCTGCAATCAACTGCCACCATAGTGGTCCATAAAGAAAGTGACAGAATACCAATAAAGCAGGGTGTAAGACAAGGGTACACAATTTCCCCATTTCTATTTACTGCATGCTTACAGGAGGTTTTTAGAGGCCTAGAATGGGAAGAACTAGGGATAAAAGTTAATGTAAAGTACCTTAGTAACCTGGGCTTTGCCGTTGCCGATGACATTGCATTTCCAAGTAACTCAGGGGACGAATTGCAATTCATGATTATTTTGATTTAGACAAAGAGAGCAGAAAAGTAGGTTTTAAAATTAATCCTCCAGAAAATGAAAGTAATGTAGAAGAACCTCGAAAGAGAACAGCACGTAGCAGAGCACTTGAAGTTTGTAACAAGAGTACTGTAGGAATAACTATTTGGTGGCACAAAGAGGTGATGCAAGAAGTGAGGCCTCTCGAGCCTCTGCAGCCTGCAAGAGCGGAATGAGTAACCTGAAGTTGATAATGAGACGCCATGAAAACAAGTGAACCACTTCCCGACTTTCATCCTAGAAACGGGACTGAAAACAAAACTTTCTGTGAATTTTCATGAAATGTTTCAACATGTACAGTGGCACGTGTGCGCGTGCGCACACACACACACACACACACACACACACACACACACACACACACACACACACACACACACACACACACACACACACACACACACACACACACACACACACACACCTGTTGCTGTGAAACCAGGCTGGCCAGACTGGTGCTTGTGCCCAGAGGGGTAGCTGTGGCGCCAACCATCTTGCTATTATTAGTCACCGACAGCAGTGGTGTTGCCATAGGAGTTGTGGCTTTCCCCGGCGATGCCCTGTGTGCAGCAGCCCGGCCACCAGTGACCATCACAGGAGTGGCACCACAGCCACTGATGGCAGTCGTATGGCCGGTGGAGGAGGTGAACACACTAGTGACATTGGTGCCAATGTTGTTCAGAGCACTGCTACTGCAGGCGCTGACAATGTTGTTACAACTTGTAGCCCCGTTTAGCGCGTCAGTCAGTTTGTGGTTTGTGGGAAAAATGGGAGGCTTGCCATTTTCAGAGTTACCTGTGAATGAAAATGCATCAGTAAGCGTCGTACTGTCATTACCGACCTGTGCAAAAGAACTTGTTCTGTACCACATCGTGATGAAAACAGCAAAGGCACTGCCTCTGACAGGTTGTAGCTTGCACTGCCAATGAAATTTTAGTTTTATGTGCAGCTGAAACATGTGAGTAAGATTAACTTTTAAAATTTTTTTTTTTAAGGGAAAAGCAGTGTTTTGCAATTAAGCAAACACAGTAAAAATTCACTGTTAGCTTCCACTACTGCTTTTGATGTATTGTACTTGCTGTTTCTCAGCACAACTAAGTCAGATGTCGCAGTCACTAGTGTCACTGAATGGATCATCTTAAAGATCACTTTTAAGAGCACAAATCAAGTTTGAACTGTCTAGAGAAGGTCAACTTAAGGGGGGATACGAGACCTGATAGTGAAATATATTAGTATTAGGCCTAGAGACATGATGTTTTCAGAGAATATTCAGCTTTGTACACTGATCGAAAAATATGTAATTACTTTTCCTTTACATCAATCCAAACAAAAGTTACAACTATTCTTATTTTATGAACTTGGGATGTGACTTGCTTAAAAAGTAATGCATCAAAAGAGCTATACAGTAAAAGCTCGTTAATTCGAACTTCGCGGGGATGCCCAATGAGTTCGAATTAAACCGAATTCGAACTAACGAAATTCACTGAAAAAACAGCAAGAATTGAGATCGGTTTGTTTGAAGATGAGACAAAATATTTATTTGCGAAAGTAATCTGTGATAACTTTCTGCTTCCTTTCTTTGAAAGTGATTGCCATCGCTTTGTTTTCCAATGCGCGAACGTGGCGGAAGGCATCCTCTTCATCTTCCTCGAAGCTGAAGAAGAGGCGCGCGACACGCATAGCCTCCATTACCTCCGAAGCTGTCGGACGCGTCGGCGCCTCATCCTCCTCGTCCTCACCCACGTCGACGACGAGTGCTTCCTCGCCAGTCACCTGGGCGATGATATCGTCGTCGGTGATAGTGCCACAGACCACTGCACTGCGATCTGCATCGACGTAGTCGCCGAAGTTCACGTCCCCCAGCGCATCCCGCAGTCCGGCAGGAATGACGTCGGCCTCACGCTCATCGAGCTCGCCCGCTGTGCCCTCAATGGCCACACAAAAGCCACTGTGGCGGAAGCAATTGGCAACAGTTGTTGCCGTGACCTGATCCCAGGCCCGCACCAACATATGCATGGCCGAGAGCAGCGTCACGTCGTAGCCTTTTGTACCGGCGGCGCACAACACCAAACGCTCCAACATGTGGCGCCTGTAAAAGCATTTCAAGTTCTTAATGACCCCTTGGTCCATTGGTTGCAAGGCTGCCGTTGTGTTCGGCGGCAGAAACGAGAGCTTGATCGCCTTCAAGTCCACATCAACCACGTGCGCTGAGCAGTTATCGACTACCAAGAGCACGCTTCTGTGAGCTAATTCAAACTTGCGGTCAAGCTTTATCAGCCACTGTTTGAATATTTCCCGCGTCATCCATGCCTTGCTGTTGGCTGTATACTCTGCCGGTAGTGTGCGGATGTTCTTGAAGCAACGAGGCTTCAGGGCCTTCCCTATGATCAGCAGCGGTAGTTTTTCTGTACCATCCATGTTTGCTGCGACCAAGACAGTAACGCGCTCTTTGCTTCTCTTCCCGCCAGCACAGGTGTCGCCTTTGTACGTCAACGTTTTACTTGGCAGCAGCTTATAAAATAATGCCGTTTCATCGGCATTAAATATATCGCGGGGCGAGTACTCTTGAAGCAGTTCTTGCAAAGCACCGCTTTGCCACTTTGCGCATGTCTCGCTGTTGACTTCTTTGCCTTCACCAGACACAGTGCGGAACACAATCTCGTGTCTCTCTCGGAAACGATGAAGCCAGCCCTCCGAAGCTTTAAAATCATCTATGTTGAGGCGAAGCGCGAAGTTTGCTGCTTTCGCCATAACGATAGGGCCGCTCAGTGGGATGTTTTGGCTCCTCGTTTCCTTGATCCACGTGAGCACTGCGCGCTCCAATTCGGGGTGCTTCGCTGAGCGAAGCCTCTTGCGACTGCCGGTGAACGCATCAGTTGCGTAGGCCTCCTCAATCGCTCTCTTATTCTTGATATATGTTGAAAGAGTGCTTTTTGGGATTCCATGCTTCCTTGCGATTTCAAGCTTGCTTGTTTTCCCACAGTCCACTTCACAAAGGATTTCTACCTTTTCCTTGAGCGTTTTGGCGCTCTGTCCTCTTCCGCGAGAAGTCATGTACACTAAGTGCGGTATGCTAGGTCCAGCAGTCGAAGGCAACACCGTCACAAAACCCACGGCACTGAACAACTTCGTAGCGTTGACGCACACGAGGCCTAGCGACTGAATGTGTGGCACACAAAGCACACGGGGAGGCGTCCAACACGACCACCACACGATGCGAAGAGCGCGCGCAGTCGCCCACAGAACACCCACGCGTAGCCTGTCGCAGTCGTGCAATGACGCCACGTGGCCACGTATCCAGGCACTAGATTGGATTGGATTGATTTGCGCTCAGCCCTTGCGCCATCTATCGTAGAGCCGTAAAAGCTTGCGGCGGAAGCATAAAAATACTACCACGCAGCGGCGCGCAGTTCGAATTATCAATAGAGGAGCCGATGCGCGCATGAACTAACGAGTTGGTTAACTCATAGACGCCTATACATTGTGGCCGGACCATGACCATCAGTTCGAGTTAACCCGAAAGTTCGAATTAATGAGGTGCGAATTAACGAGCTTTCACTGTAATTGAATCTGTATATTGCTGAATATTCAAATAGTGCAAATATGCAATTTCACGCTAATATCTAAATTTCACCAAAGTTATGAAGTTTTTATGTCGCAGTCTCTTAGCTCTGAATTTTCACTGGTGATTTCTGGAAAATTTCAAAAGTTTACAATGTCCTTCAACATTTTATCAAGGTTTTCTTGCACACTTCTATACCCTAGCATTCAAACAAAAAAAAAAAGATCAACAAAATCAAATCCGTATTAGCGACACAGTGCTCATCCCAAAATTCAAAACATGCAAGAATCTGTATTTGAGAAAAATGCAAAAAACTGAAAAAGTTGTGAAAATGAAAATTTCATGCACGAAAGCCAAAGCACTTGTATTCACAATCACTCAGAAAGACCCTGCGGAGTAGTCTGAAGCAGGCTTTTGCTTGTGCTTCTTCTTTGCGGCTGCCTGGAACGCCGCTGAAGATGCACGTTTCCTCTCTGAGCCGACAGCACGGCGATAGTCTTTCTCAACCGCCCGCTGGTTACCTGTGCATGTTTGATCCGGCTGCAGTTCACGCAAAATAAGTTAACTAGATTCCTTGTTCCCTAAGTTGAAATGCATAACAGCATCTGCCATGGCAGTCTCAATGGCAAACAATGACGCGTTCTTGTCCTTCGGTGAGAGGCCCCAAATGACTGAATGCAAGTCCTCATTCGCATTCTGCGTCTTCCCCCTGGTGCATCTCTGCAGGAGCTTCTCGTCGGACAAGCGTTCATAAACAGGACGCAGTGCATTGCTCACAGCCTCTGGCGAATTGTACTTGCCTTTTGGGATGGGCTCATTTCTTGCCATGGCTGCATTATGCTTGCACCAAGACTTGGGGCCGTGTGGACAGAAGCTGTGGTTTGATTTCTCGTCAGTGGATGTAGCTAATACGTAGCCCACACAGCCTTGTGCATCTCATCCACATTCCCAGAATGAGATTTCAAAGCCCAGCCGTAGTAACTCGTCAATTTTGTGATGAGGTCACCCGTGAGGCGGCCCTTGCCACTGATGCGCTCGCTGCTGCCCCTTAGTCCTTCTGCACGAGGTTCCAAAGTGCAGTCTCCATGCGCTTTCGCGCATACTTGAAGTACTGCAGGCAGCGGTCGCAGTCACAGCCACACTTTCTCCGGCTGCGAGACCTGCTGCAGCAGCATTCTCTGCTGTCTTAATCACAAGCGGCAGCATTGTTTCCTGTCGCCTTGTTGAAGCATCACCGCAATCAGCTGATTCCGACGGCGCCATCGTCGCCGTCGCGATCGCTTGTGTTGCAACACCGCTTTGTCGCGGAATACGTTGTGCTCTTCTGCCGAGATCTGCAGATATCTTCATCTGCTGTTGTGATGATTTATGGCACTCTGAGCACGTATCACCACAGATAGAAGTTGTAGCGATCGAAGGCTGCCTTTGTGTTGGGCTGCTGCATCGCGGCGACTGCCGGTCTCCTGTCCCGCTCGGCTCTGCCGACGTAGCCTACGCTGGCTGCGATGACTCCTTGGGCTGCACAGCACATTTTTTCCCTCGCTTGCCGAATTTGTGAAGTGTGCGGAGCTTTCAAGCACGGTTCAGCATCTCGATTTCGATCGCAAAACTACAAAACTTCCAAATTGCGGTGACATCGCGCGTGTTTGCGGCCATGCGCATGTGATCACCAGTGTTGTCAGTCCCCGCACTCCAATCACAAGCAGCTGTTTACTCACGTGACTGCTATGGACCAATGATACCGCACTGTTTTGCCGCTTGTTTGTGCCTGGTAGCGCTGACTGGCTGCAGCATTGAAAGTTCGTTCCTAGCGGGAAAGCGAGCTCAACAGAAGCTCTTTCAAACAAGACTATGATTGCTGTGATCCGATGAGTGGTTAGCACGATCAGAGCAACGCAAAAGGGGGCTGTTTTCGGCGATTTCGTAAGTGAAACCAAGTGCTGGGATGAATAAACACGACATTTTTTGGCTCAACGACGCGTCATTTCGAGTTCATTTTTTGCTGGCAGGTGCGGGATAATATAAAGATAACGAAAATCACCAAACTGAAAAATTGATCTTTTGGGCATTTTTTCATCGCCAAGACCCGTGGTCCTCTTTAAATAATCAATCTAGAGAAAAAAAAAAAAAAAAACTTGAAGCACTGTGGCCCCGAATTGCTGCCTCCTCACCTGCTACGTCACATAGAAAAGATAGCGCTGGCTTGGGTGAGCTGGCGGGGGACACCGACGACGGCTGAAGACGTGGCTTCTCATCCAGGTCCTCATCCAGGTCGCTGTAATTGCCGCACTCTGCATTCGAACGAAATAAAGATACAGGGCTTACCAAAGTGGGTACTGCACTATGTCTTCTAATTTAGAAGGCTAAATCATTCTCACAATGTCTTCCAATTTAGTAGGCTAAATAATTTCAATGCTAGAGAATTCTGTATTCTCAAATTCTTCTAAATACAACTCGGGGCAACATATAGCAAGCTAGAGTTTGATGTTTATTCTTTCCAAGCTCCGCAGCAACGTCAAAAACAGCCCTGCAGGATTGCCAGTAGCGTTTTCAGACACGACTGATTATAACAGCATTCGTTACCATTCAACACTTGCAGGTGAGTGTAAAGAGGGGACGAAGTGTGTTGCGTCGTGCAACAGCTTGTAGCCCCTTACCATCCTTAGGACACTTTTTCGCATTACACCAGTGTACTGCGATGAAAGTGACCTTAGAAAGCATTCAGTATTTGATAGCCTAATGCCAGGCCACCTGGATTTTTAATTTTTCTTCCTAGTCGTGGTGCGATTGTTTGTTCACACAGTTTGGCTAGTATGGCCGTTTTGTCGGCAAGAAATTGGCTTTATTTGCAGCTGTTTGTGACAAAAAAACGTGAATGTCCAGCTAGAGAAAACAGATATTTCCATGCATCAATAAAAAAATACTTGAACTAAACTAATTTGTGAAACGGGACAGTTCGAATTAGGCAGCTTTATAATACATTGAAAACATTGTGGGCTAACGGAAAATTTAGGATTTGTTTAAATTAACCGAAAGTTTGAATTATCAAGGGTCTATCATATTTTTCATATCTCTTCAGTCATTTTAAACAAGCGTTGGCCAAATAAAACTGTGCAGGCACATTGTTTCCTTATTATTGTAGTCTTCAGAGCTGCACATTCGTGAGTAAAATCTCAGCTTGACATCAACTCCCTAGTGAGTGTTCAACGTATTGCAACTTTCGTTCAAATGTATTAAAAACATCACTCTCAGTGCATTGTGTACACTTCTCATTACAGATTATTGAGGCACGCCGACGTAATTTCAACACTCACAATTTAGAATGAAGTATTCCTCCCCAAAAGGCATATTATATATGTGACATTTTACAGGCTACATAAAATACCTAAAAAATAATGGCACTTTTGATGTCAGCAAGTTTTAGCAAAGCCAGTCGAGAACTAAGATGAAGTCGAGAAGCAAAGTGTGCCTGGTATCAACGACTGCTTGTTAGCATGTTAACAACTGCTTCAACTTCAACAATAGTAAGACCCCGAATTTGTTAACAATGTACAAGCATGTGTGTCACTATCTTCAGCTTATTACGCTGAAATTTATGTTAGCAGTTAGGTTACACCATGTGCATGTTGCAACTAATTTTGGATTCCCAACACTAAGATACGTATGCCTCAAGACTAGGCTTGTGCAAATAGCGAATTTCAGGTTTGAAGTGAATTCAAAGCAAATTGTGATTTTGGCCAAATAATTTCTAATCGAATTTGAATAATATAAGTGATATATAAAAAAAAAATGGGCATACAGTAAAACCTCGTTGATTCGAAGTCACTGGGACCCTGATGAATCTGCGAATTAGGTGGGTTTTTGAATTAACAAAACATACAGAAAGTGGGATGCAAGGAACTTGAAATTATTCAAAGTATAATCAGGGCTGGTCGTTTGCTATGCTGGCTAGTTTACGGCTTCGAGGGTTATGTTTTCCATCAATACAAGGTCACAGTTTTGTTGCAAACAAGGGCGAACCCCCGAGACTCGCTGCTGAATTGCAAAAACAAACAAACAAACAAACAAACAAAAAATTGGCCCGTATCTGCATGTAATCTGCAAATGTCGTCGAAAGGCGATAGTCTTGCGTGTGGAGAGAGTGAACAAAACATTTATTTGATGTTCTGCGCAAGAAAATCAGTGAATGGTAATCCGGAGGCACTGCGTTAGAGTGCCTCGAGCGTGCAGCAGAGGCGAACGATCGCATCAAGTCACGTCACACGTGAGACATGAGCGCCATCTGGCAGTTTCTTTTGGAAAACAAACCGCGTGGCCGTGCACGCCTGTTTTAGAGGTGATAAGGTGTAGAACGCGAGACGACCGGTAGTTGCCACCACCATGTCGTCATAGTAAAGCGTTGGAAACACTCCCCGTTTCGTGCAAGCATTGCATGGCAAGCGCAGCGTGATAAGCGCTACGGTCCTTAAAATTACTTATGTATGCATTTTTTAGTAAGAGATGCATATGCAGAATATATGTGTGTTGTTATGGTGCCCCAGACATGTGCAATAATTGCTTTTTAATTGACGATTGCACAAGCATGAACACTCAACCTTGAGCAACATTGGTGGTCGCTGCAAATGGAATCGGCCGTTTCAAGTACCCGATGCGGGTAAGAGTGGACAAACAGACAAATGTACATACATACATACATACAGACAGACCAAAATTTTTGCGTCGAACGTCCCCAAGAAAGACTATCGTCTTTAAAACGATCAACCGAAATGCACGCCTGCTAAAAATAAGACATCTTCACTGCAATACAGTAGTGACACACAGGCAGTGTGTCATTTGCTCCTCGCTGCATCAGCATGTCATGATGTGACTGTTCGCCCATTCTTTCTGGTAAAATAAAGAACTCAACAGTAGACAGTGTGATGAAATTCGCAATATTTTGGCTGCAAAAAATGACCATTAAAGCTTTCGAACTGAGTTTTCGAAGTAGGCTTAGCAGGCAGGAACTCCGCCAGCAGTGCAAGTGCGCAAATTGCAGGAGCAACCGCCACTCGGAGGTTCACATGGCAAATTTCACCAGACTGCCCTTTATTAATTTGTTTATATTCCCAGAAAGAACGGGTTAATCATGACGCGCTGATGTTGCGAGAAACATGCAACATGCTGCCCGCATGTCGCTGCCGTGTTGCAGTGAAGCACAGCTTGTTTTTTGCAGGTGTACATTTCAGCTGATCACGTGACTTTTTTTTTCCAGTTTTAATTTTCGTGCTGGAAGTGTCGAGGCTAGGCTACTTCAGCTGCCACTCAATAGTATCACTATAGTACATTGCTTAGTAGCTCTTAAGAGATGTCGTTTTCACGGCTTTGGGACAGAATCGGGATCGGGAATAGGTACAACGCACGCACTGCACCCAAAGTTTTCGAATTAACCGGACTGGTGCTGACCGCTTCTTCAAACTATCCGCTCAAATTTACATTGCAAAATACGGGACCACTAAAATATTTCGAATTAAGTGGGATTTTGAAATAACAGAGTTCGAATTAATGAGGTTTTACTGTATCTATCATGACCTAACTAACCTGCACAATATTTTTTTTTAAATTGAAATAAGGCCTTTATGCAAATGGTTTTTTTTTCGTTCAAGGAAAGTCGAAACAATTTTGAGTAGTAGCATGATTTTACTGCCGGTAGGACGCAAGTGCTAACTAATAAAATATGTAACATTTTAAAAATTTATTATACATAGAGCATATAAGCCGGCATAACTAACTTCTAAGCTTAAAAAAATGATGAATCGATTTGAAGGTAAAATGTTAATTTAAAGGGGCCCTGCAGCACTTTTTCAAGTAGCCATGAAATGAATTCACTAAAGAAGCTTATTGCCTCACGAATTCACAAATGGAAAAATTTTTATAGTCCGTCCAGTACGAGCGGAGCTGCAAAGATTTGTCGCAAGCTGCAATTGCATTCTCTCTTCTCGTCCCGAAGAAATGGTGGAAGCTAAGCAGGGAGGGATGGCATGCAAAAAGAAAATATGTGACGCGTGCCTCTTGACCTTGAGTACTTTTTTCTTTCCTTTTTTTCCTCCCCTTCGAATACGCAGCTTTTGCAACTGCGCACGTACGCGTGAACAAGTGATGGCCTGCTGCGGCAGCCCCAGTAACGACCAAGCGCGTGATGCTCGAATCAGCCAATGGCTGATACAATGGCTGTGATAAGTGATCTTGGCGTCATTTGCCAAGGGAAGAGAGCAATTTTTAGCCGACTGAGAATTCATTGTGGATTGCCGGCCACGTGCTGCTCCATAATATTTGGCTTGCGTGTTCTAGGTAGCCTTGACTACTGATCAGCAACGTTCTCTGACCATGTTCAGAATGTGTTGCAGGGCCCCTTTAAACTTGAAATAAGGCTTCGCAGCAAAGCAGATTTACCCTGAATGAGTGCTTTCACAGCTTAATGCCTCTACACTGCATTAAAACCATTTTTACAGGAGGTTACATATGGATTAATATATTTATTCGTTCACTGCAAATACTTTTAAATCTTCAGTAATTTAAATTCAAAACCAAGCGATTTCGAATACTCTAGTATTCATTCGAATATTCCAAGCATGCGAGTATTCACACAAGCCTACTCAAGATGCAATGTGACAAAAGTTGGACCTTAACGACATGGACTATGTACATATAATACAGTGCACATCTATGCACAAGCAATTATACACGTCTTCGAGGTCAGCAACTAAACAAGACAGGGAAACAAATAAAGCATTGAAGAATCACTAAAGTGAAGGAAAGGAATAAGCACAAGCAAGGTGCTCTAAATTTATGTTCTCACACAAAGGATGTCATTTTACATTTACCACAATAGATTTATATTAGACACAGTAACACCTCATTATTATGGCACCGTTCAAGAATTCGTTTAATTTGGACACACTGTCTGGTTCTGTAAAAAACAAAGTCTATGGCACAAAAACTCCAATTCAGACATATCTAGTAGTACACCGATCAATTCAGGCAGTTCTTCGAGTTCAAAGGTACATGATACACATCGGGTCAGAACAAAAGAAATTTTTCAAGGAGTTGAAGGGTTGCTTCTTGGTTAAAAAGAACTAAATGAATCCAACAGACAATTAAGCCTTGTAATGCATAGGGGACATAATTTCTTGTTTTTAACTGCAGTGTAACATTGTAACAGTTGTAACATGAATCGGGGGTGGAACAGGATACATGGGTTTGAGAGTAGCCCTGGAGCTTTCATATTTTTTTTTGAAGCTGGCCTCGAGCAGCCAGACAGGCCTTTTCGAGCAGATTTAATGCAATCAGAGAGAACAATTGTCCAATGCTGCCTTTTTTTTTTTTTTTTCACACTAAGCTAAGTTGTGAAATAGCCTTATTATTATGATAGAAATATAACATTCTTGGGGGTTATTGCCATCACCATTGCAGTCCTGTCCTAGTCTAAATTGATCATATGCCCCCACCCATCGCAAGTTCAACCTGTAGGTAAATAATGCACACGAGCGGGGGAGGTGAACACGACTGAAGCAGAGATATAAGGAGCCGGCCCATCTCCTTCACTTCGAGGGCGCGTGCAATAACATCAGCCCGCTAGGGAGGCTTGCTGTCGAAGCAGAGAGGAAAACCAGTCTTGAACGACCACAAAAAGACATGAGGGAAGGAGGAGGGAAGTGTCACTCGGGCAGCAAACGTGTACTTTGGTTCTAAAGGCACTGGCATTCGTGCTAGCTCAGCAGCCATCAGCAGGCGGCACGTCCTCATCACGGAAAGACTAAGCAAAAAGTGTAGCTCTCCCTGACATAGCCCCATTCTCTTACACCAGTGTTTTGTAGAGTTATGTAAGATTGGGCCCAAAAGAGTTAGCTGCCAGCCTTGCTTCACAGAACATTACAACTTCTTGCTATCGCCTTCATTTCTTACCCCTTGTGGTGCAACCGTGAATTCTTTAGCTATGTACAACCTAAACACGCAAGTGTTTACCGTTGAGTTGATAAGTGCCGTGTAATGAAGCCCAGCAGCTAAATGGACGAGAGTATGTGCATGTGCTCAGAGCTTTGACGAGCAGTTATTTGCTACGCTGTTCCAGCAATCGACCAGCATTTGCTTCTTTTGAGCACTGTTACCATAATACTTCGTTTCTTTTCTGAACACTACCATGAAGTTATAAAAAAATGAAAAATTTTATACCTTCACAGGATGAAGCAATAAATGCGATAGCAATAGATTGCAGCATTATAATACAGGCCACTTACTCTTGGATCCGATATCGGTTAACTACAGAAGAGTGTTGGAGAATACCAACGCCAGTGTTGGAGAATACCGTCGTGTCAAGGAGCGACGCTCTTATTGCATGGTCTTTTCACCTTGACAGCACAACATGTAAAAATGTTTACGAGCTATACGAGCTGAAGCTGACGCCTTCCAAGATAGCGCACACGCGCCAGTGACCGCGACCGAACCCTTCCGATCAAAGTTCACAGCTGTTGCTCGAGCAATCACTGCCTTGACGAATCCATAAGTGGTGCAGATTCGAATATTCCAGATGCAATTAGAGCATTGAAAATGCCAGGTCACAAGTACACTTCACTAACTTCAGTAGACGTCGAGCATTCATTTTCCACATACAAACAAATGCTGACTGAAGCAGGCACGTCTTCAAGCCTGAAAACCTTGAAGTGATGCTGGTTTATCACTGCTTTCATGGTCTTTTCTACAGTGCCCAATTACCCAAGCTTTCACCTAAATCTGTTCCAATAGTTGTTCTTCTTTTAATTCTTTTCACGAAAAAATTAAGTTAGCTTTCCCAAAGGACAGGATTTGCCTGCTGTGTTTGTTAAAAGTCGAATATTTGTTCTGAAACACGTAACTGAAGTAATTATGAATTGTGCCTATGTATATGTCTCAACGATAGCGTTTAATGCCTATTTATGCCTAAAAGACAGTTTTTAGGGCGTATCATAGGCACCTAATGCTTTGTTTTTTCCTGCCTGAAGTTTTGGTTTCTACTTACAACCATTTAAATGAAACCAAAAAGCACAATGGTTCAGCGACGTTTTTCGACATGGGGCTTTATTGGTGGCTAAATTCAGGTGCTACGGCGCAGTACAGCGCTGATAAACGAGTCGCAATAGGGGTGGTTCGGCACGCAATGACAGTTAAACAAGTTTGGTGCACAATGGTGCAAACGGCACAGTTTTTTCACTCCTGCATAAATTGAAAGTAATTATAACAGAGAAAAAGCACCCTTTGCATTGGTGTGGTCCCAACCCACCAGCTTTAAATGCCAAGGTTGTGGATTCGAATCTGAGCAACTGAAAGGGTGCTTCATCACTTTTTTTTTTCCTAAGCAAACAAAATTACCACAGCAGGGTTTGCTTAAATGATTTTTATTTTATTTTATTTATTTATTTGAATATACTGCAGCCCTAGTGCAGGGCTATAGCAGGAGTGGATAAGTTATACAGAACTAATACAAACAGAGCAACAACAATAAAACAAAAACTGAAATACATTACAGCAATACATAAGAAAACATAACTATTGTATTGCAAACATGATCTTTACCTATTTTCTAAATGGGCAATAGCGGCATCAATGAAATTTTGTAATGATAGTGAACAAATGATCTCTTAGTTACTAAGCACCAGAACTGTGGTTGGTTTGGTGTCTTTTTAATAACGAGGCAGAGGCTTGGGTTTCCTTCAATGAAAAGGTCAACATGAAAGCTTCTGAGCCAAAATTTACAAAAGTACATTAACTCTTGCATTGTGCAATCGTACATCCCTTGATTCATGTGTCTGTTCCCTTATTTAATAAAATAGCCCTTCGGAGGCCTTAGGGGTATTATGGAGCAAGGTAAATAAATTATTTTACCAACAAACAAAGAAAGATGAAATCTTGAGAGCTGTGATGAACGTACCAGAAGCAGTTGTGGTGGTCTCGTTGTCCTTCTCGGGCAGCAGAGCGCTCATGTCGAGGTAGTCAAGCTGCAAGGACATGTCCTTCTTGAGTGTGGCCAGCCGCTGCTGTGCTGCTATCTTTTCTCGAGCCAGGCGTTCCATCTCGTGCTCATACTCCCGCTCACGCCGCTTCAGGCTCTGCATGCGCAGAATGACATGTCGACTTTTAATGCAATAGCGTGCGAGCTTGTTTCCTTCCTCTACTAAGAAATGCAGTGAAGGTAACTTTCATGCTTTACAAACACACTTGTCCTGTATACATGCTTCACAATACGACATGAAATATTGTCGTAATAATGCATAGTGCAAGCGTACATTGCCATCGGGCGTCAGAACATGGGATTATCATAATGTCTTCATAGTTTAAAGCTAGTCACCCACTACAAAAGAGACACATGTTACTGCAAACTTAAGGCCTCGTAGTGGGTTCCTAGCAAGTTCAGAAAGATGTCATACACTAAGTGTTTGAAGTACGCACCAGGAACAGATAATTGCTATCGCGTTCAACTCTTAAAGGTGAAGCTTAAGGGTCCCCCCATTTCCAAGGAGAACTGGCTATACGAGCTTTTCAAGGGCAGGGTGTGTGTTCCAATACTCACAGTAGACATCAGCCATTGGCTGCCCTCGTGCACTTTCACTGACACGAAAGACCATACAACAGGTATGGCGATGTTATTGCCCTTGAACTTTACACGGACGCTCATGGTGACGAGGAACATGCACCTGGAGTGTCTACATAATTGCTATCACACAAAAAAATGCAGGCTGACCATGATAGCTTGCTATCACCTGCGTGGAACTGCCATCACTGTCAGAAACAGTAGATGAATCCAGGGCTGACCTGTATGTAGCGCAGGGCACCCCTGAGAATGGTCAAGTTGGATGTTTTCCGATCGTCCATGTTTGGAAGCTGTCTTTTCAGTGTCTCAAAGCACTCTTTCAGGTGGGCTCTCCTGCAGGCAAGGAAAAAATTAATGCTCGCGAGCCAGGAATGACATTAATGCCCCCCCCCCCCCCTCTCTCACATACACAATGAAGGAAGCAAAATAACAGGACACAATGTGGCACAAAAGTACGCAAGCATCTAGAAGAATAGCCTTTGGGCTAGCTGGCAATACCCATTTTTACTGTTTGTTTCTCCCTATGTTTACATCTTTTAGCACAGTTTTCTCACTATGAAAGCATTAACCGATGCATTAACAGTCTCAAGAAGCTTCAAACCAACTTTGCCTGCCAAACCTAAAACAAGACTGTTTTTCTGGCAATTTTGAGACTTAAGAATTAGAAAACACCATAAAGTGATATCTACTCCACTTGTGCATGGCAATATATAGCTTACTGTAGCGTGATGTTATATGCAAATGCATTACATTATATGTCTACATTATTCGTAACACCTCAAAGCATGAAGACTACTACAGCATGGCTATTGAACACGACAAAAAAAAAAAAAAAAAAAAAGCAAGGGGGAGGGGATTGTTTTGTAGAAAGAACTACTACAGTTCTATTGTTAGCATTAAAAGGCCACTGAGGCATGCGTACCGCTCTTCTACAAAGCAATATGTAGGCATAACAATAGAGAAGCAATTGCAAAAAGTGTAAAAAAATAAAGTTACAAAAATAGCACTCACCTATTTTTTTCAAGCTTATTGTGGACTTCACGTGTGCCCCCCCTGACAAGAAAGAAAAAACAAAATGACATTAATAATGCGAGATCACTGGCATATACAAAGCAACCTACTGCAGGGTTAAGACGAATACTTGAAACCATTAGCCACTCAGTTTTTTGTAGTTTTTCTCGAGCAAGTGCACATAGACAAACATGAATGAAAGTGTAGTCAGTGATAAATAAAATGCAAATAAAGATTAGCAAACAGGTACAAATTGACATTTCACTGCTTACTCGGGCTGTTTACCACCCAAGAAAGTTTTTACACGACTACACAGTGAGCATCACTTCTATTAACCATCGTTATCACGAAACTATAGTACCAAAAAGTAGGGGTTATATATTCCCAGCAGGGATTGAAGCACACCGTCTTGCCACAGTCCTTGCCTTCCAAAATGTGCCTCTCAGCTAAGTGTGTGAAAATAAAAACCTGCAAACAACTTAGTAAAGTGAAGATTTGCGCTAGTTGGTTTTACATTATAAAATAAGAACAGTACGATATTCTACACGGGGACCATAAAAGAAACAACATGGACAAGTTCTGCTTACAGCATTTCACTTACAGTGTCACAGTAGTAAAGTCAACATGCTTTCATGTTGAAAGCCAAGCATAGCACATTCACACACACCGACAGCAATAATGAACATGACTACATATCCATTATTGTGAAGAGGATTTCATATTTTGTTCTTGCTTCATAAAGGAAAATGTGATAATACAGTGCAATTTTTAATGCATACTTCTGGTATAGCTTCTACATATTTTTCTTTTTATGACTTTATTCCTCCTAATAGCCTGTTTGCAAGTGAAAGCTGAATGATATGCCAGCTTGGCCGAGTCAACATTCAACATTTATTTACAACGTAGCAAGTGTATGTGCGACATAAAGATTGAAATAGTGACAGCACTTTTCTATGTGGCTGAAAGCAAACAAACAGAGCAGAACGCAAAGTCAAACTTTGCAAGGTTTTGTATCTAGCTCACTATGGTTCATGCAAAATACTTTGTAGCAGATATAACAGTGCTTGCATCATAATGAAAAATAAAGCAGCCACAGTAATACCAGACATAACGCACACCACTTCATATGACCAACAATGCCAGCTATTATATCAGATGCACGCAAAAAAAATCTAGATTTGGTGACACTATTTTCACCACAGTGCAACGTCGCTCACAAGGACTGGTGTTATCACAGATGATGAAATAAACGTGCATTGGCTCGCCGCCCTACAATACAAAATTAGGGTAAACGAAACATGTGTGTCACATAGCATGTGCAAATGTGCAAATCCTGTCTTGTCCAGTGCCTTCTAGAAAACCATTGATTTCAGACAACCTTTCAGACAGCTTGCTTAACAGTCAATACTGTAGCGAAATTTATTAACAATTCACCTACAGCTTGCTTAACCCTAAATCTGCAATAAAATGTTCCTTAACCCACTCAGCTTCTATAAACAAGCTCAGAGTGATGAATTATTTTGCACAGTCTGGATACTAAACTAGCCAAATCCTCTCACAGTGAAAAATACCAATTTCTCTAGTGGAGAATATCCGAGCAATCTATGCATCTAGCACTCTTTCTTTTTTGCACAGAATACCATAAAATATCTGATCACTACATTTTTAACTTTGCTACAAGGAAAATAATGCTGTCGTTGTGCAGTGGTAGATTCAGTGATCAGAACTTTCTACAAAAATAAGCTAAGCAATTCTGCATGACTTATTGCGACGTCAGGTTTCAGTTTGCTGCCATGTATCCATGACATAGCACAGAAGTCATATTTCAGTCGCAATATGACATGAAAAACTGTCCTCAAGACTAGTGTGTCAGAAGCAAACCAAACTGAAAATGTAAACAAAAAAGAAATATTTTTGACCCAAATAAAAACATAACTGAAACATTATCTATTTTTTCATTCCAAAGTAAAACTGGAATTTTTTTCAATAGTTTTTCGGTTCATGGAAAAACTTGGCAATCCGGAATTACCGACGTCATGCAATGTGAGAAATAATTCATACTTCATTATGCAGTAATAGCGCATTTTTCAGGCAGGAATTCCAAAGTAAAGAGGCGCAGAAATTGCGTTAAAGACAAAAACAGTGGTTACTAGTGATGTTAATAAAGTGCACTTTTATGTGCCTGTCACGCTAGCCAGCGTGAAGAGGGCATTCTTGCTGCGGGTTTGTTTTATCAGAACAGTGGTCTTGTACATCAAAGAAACAATTGATAATGAGCTGCCTTTGAGATAATTCTCACTTTCTTAACACAAAGCACTGAGAGCCTGCTCGAAAAATTCGTGTCCGACTTTTGAGAAAACAAATTCTATGACTTTGAACAATATTGCTTTTCACTACTTGGTAGGAATTCGTTGTACAGTTACTTCTGCTCCTTTGAAGAACATGGTTTACCTCTGTCCCACCTTCTAAATGAAGGGCTACGGAACATTTACGCAACATTTTAAAAACCGTTACGTACTGCTACAGAACATTTTTTTTTTTCATTCCGGAACAGAAACAGGACAGAACTTTTTTCTAATGAAACAATGCTAATACCAAAACGAAAAAAATTTTGTAGACACCCTACTCAAGACACACAGGAAAGCCAATGTTTTTTTAGACTAGAATAGTGGGGATATTCCTCTCACATTCCTCCAATCTTTAATAATTTTACTATACTTCAATAATTTTGTGTTTTTCAATAAAACAAGTATAATCTTTTAATGAATTTCTTACCAACTGCATAAAGTGTCAATAAATATCAGTGATCATTTGGAATGACTCAAACGGATCATTTCAAGCGAAACATCACAGGCCAAGACGTGACACTTGAAGAAGATTGGAGGAATGTGAGAGGAATATCCCCACTATTCTAGTCTAAAAAAATATTTGGTCATTGGATTGACCTTTTAATGTTCTAGTGAGAAGGAAAAAGTAAGTTGGAGATAAATTTCACAAATCAGGCATGAAACTAGGTGCAATGACAGAGTTTATTTTAGAGCTTTCAATTGCAATAGTTCTTTCATGTGATGCATACACAAATATTATACCTTCAAAAGGCTTAGCAAAAAAAAAAGAGAGAGAGAGAGAGAGAAAAAACTCACACATTCAATTATATATATGTTGCATAAATAACAGCACTAGTTTCAGCTCCAAAATTTTTTACCTAAATAAATAGAATTTTCTCAAGAAAAATACTAGGAAAGTTGATAGGAAATTACTTTTTCAAGAGACTCAGGCATAAATTAAGCATAAAGCCCCTCAATATAAAAATACGTGAGATCATTCAATACATGCACCAGCCTCCTAGCTTGTCATACAGGAATTTTCACTCAAGTAATTTTGACTGAAGCAAGAAAATAATTTTCGAAGACTACAACCAAAGTGACCAACCAGTAGGCAGTAAAAATTGGGTACTTACGTCCGCGCCGGCAGGCTCCCCATTGACTGCTCATCTATATACGCCTGCTCCTCTCCTCGTCGTCTGCTGCAAAACAGATGGCAGCAGATGTGAAAATCGAATTCAAAAATTTTCTATGTTCGTTTCAGTACACATCTGTTCTCGTATTTCTCAGTTATGTATACCTTCTACAATCAGTGATTTGACAGTCACAGAAGATTGCAGGTGAGGCTTTGTTTAAGTGGTTTTAGATAATTTCATGCAGTCACAGTAAACTGAGATCGGCTACAGTAATGCACAGGCAATAGCCTCAAGCCTGAAGAATAAATTCCGAAGTTTAAACTTCAGGACAAAATGTTTCTGCACAACCGTTTTCTATATATGAAGTAAGAAAATGTGAAAATGCCAGAATTAACTAACAATTTATAATTGAATAAATCAGATTTTACCATGTTCTTTATATTTGCATAATCTGTAATAACGTGCCCTATATAGGGAGCCAAAGCAACACTTGGTGGCGCTGCAACGCTGGACAGGCAGCGCCATCTCTGGTAGAAAAGTGGAAATCGGGGATGTATATTGTACGTTCTATCTTCCAGCCAACGCACTTCCGCTCGCTTATGTGCTCGTGCAGAACGTGCGCGGTGCAGCTGATTCACTTCACAATGTACCACCAGCTGCAGTGCGGCTTCAAAAAGATCTCTGAGCTGGACAAGCAATTCCGAAAAGTGACTTTAACAAAATAAAGCTCGTTTGTCAAGTTTATGAAATGAAGCAGACGATAGAAGACGAGGAGGCCGGAGTCATTGCAAAATGCATTTGTCAGGCTCGTGACAATACCATGTACGATGTATGCCTCGAGGTAAGTCTCATTCTGTCCACATGAAGCTGTGTACACTATCAAAATGCCGTGTTGACGCTTAAGAAAATTATATAATTGCTGCTTTGATGCGGTGTTTAGCAGTAGCTGCCGTGTACTGTCATGTGTGCTAAAGAATAAATAAAAACTAAACTCATACGGTCATGGCATTAAAGTGTCTGAGAAGTTTTAGACTTATGTCCTCCGTGCCGCGGAAGCATGACCCGCTGACTTTATCGCGACGGCAGCAAGCTGAGCTTTAACGATGCTAATCAAATTGAAGTGCTTGTCTCTTTCTTCATTTTTTTTTTTCAGCACTTGTGTTATGCTTGCCCTATCTTTCGCGAACACAGCTCAGTGTTTGGAGAGCAAGTCATGCCTGGGGAACCAAACACGTGGAGCTTTACACGTGGAGAGCGTGCCTTGGTGCTGTCTGCATTGTTGTAGCAGTCCACAACACAATACTTCCGACCTCGCCAACACTTCCATTTGGTCACTTCTGCCATTACGGAAAGGCAATTTCACTACAGCAAGCGTCTCGTTTTTGCGCGCCAAGCTGATGGCATGATGCCGACATTTTCCGCAATGACTGCACAACATGTTCTGCACATGATCCCGCTCTGCTCCCTGCTTCAGTGAAATACACTCAATTGCCTGCACCCTCTGCCGCCGATATCTCTAATTTTCTCGGAGCTTGCCACCAGACCCGCAATGCAGCGTTGTCGTCACTCCGCAAATTTGAGCTTTGTTTCCCTATTAAGAGCATGAAGGTTTTAGTGAACTTACGAAGGTATTCTAGTTATATCTGTTTACCGTGCGACATGTCAATAAGTGTTTCGTAAAAAAAATTAAAATATCACGCAGAGGTATACTACAGTATAAGTGCACCTACATGTCGAGGCTTAATGGAGCACTAACACAAAATTTTGAAGGCGAAATAATGAGCAGGAGATTTATGTGGAGACATACACAACACCTACGAAATATCAAGGGCAAATATAGCTCTGAACATTTAAAATCAACTTTAAAGTGTGTTTCCACATGAGTGAGCCAGATGCGGAGCCCCTTGGAAGTCTGAAATCGGCATGGTGTCGATGCAAGCAAACCTACATCCCGAGTTTGTGTTGGGTGGTAGCTGGCACACGCCTTGCGGTTTGCACTACCAGTGATTTTTTCCTTCGTGCCTGTGGCTTTACGTGCACTGGCTGTCAGTTTACAACACGTTGCCACCGAAACTTCTCCTACCAAGATCGGTGCTTTTTGAAACCGAAACCGTGACTGGGTGCTCTAAAGATATCTCTAAAGAAATTACCATTGCACAAAAAGCACTGCCAAAAAATGACGTAATGCCAACAGATGCAACTAACAACTCTGTGTGGTCTGAATAACATATATCAGCTTTTTCTCATGCTGCACCGAAATTGAAGTCTGCGTGAGGGCATGACAATTCATAAGTGCCATAAGCAACTTTACCTTCACTGGTGAACTGCTACAAATCACTTGGACATTGTGTTTGCACATAAGTTTATTCTAAGCCATTAAAAGGCCACCATAGTGACAAATTTTGTAGAACAGTGCAGTTTTAAACTTCAGGATGCCCCTGAGCCGTACCACTGTGGGCGCATCCATACAGCTGATATATATAACCAGTTACCTATTTTTCATTGAGCTAAGCAACCCTGAACATTCTTCGGTGTGGCGTTATGTAGGCCACACATTAAAGAGCACAGTACCAGGGATGGTAAAAAATTTGCCTCAGGTAAGAAGAAAATTCAATACTTTTTTAATCGAACTTTAGTGCAATATAAAAACTATACATAACATTGTGAATCGCAGCTACCACAAGAAGACCATTACCTGCTGGCAGAATGGAATTTATTGGCTGCATTAAGCAACAAAAGTGCATGTGATGCACTGATGATACGCTGAAACATCTAACAGCAAGAGAAACTCTGCAAAGGCCATATCATAATGTAATTCAGTCACCAGAGGATCTGTTTGCTTAGGCCAAAAGTAATGCAGCAGGAATTACTGTTAGTTTGGGCCCAAAATTCTAGAATATAAGGAAAAAAAAAAGAATTGAGTTCAGTTGGACATTGGCGACAGCAATTAATATCAAAGGAACCAGACAATTATCCCTATTAAAACAAGCTACCTACCATTTGAACACTTCCAAGTCGTGGTCACTGAAAACTTTACACAAATCCTAGGGTAGGTTGCCCTTGACACTGAAGACTAAGTGTAAAAATATGAGCAACACAGCACAAAGATTTGGAAAGCCCAAGGCACCTAAATCACAAAAAAAATTTCAATTTGAAAGCTGTGATCTCCCACTGCAATTGTCCGTAGACCGTGCTTTATGCTCTGGTGTAAAATGCCAGAGAACAGGAAAATATGCTACTCTTAAGCCGCATTCAGACTACAGTTGCATCTGTCATAAGTGTTGTATTGCAAAACAGTCGTATCATCTGTTTGCATAGTTAGCAACTACGTATGTTCACATTGACCTTTTCAGTGTGATAAGTCTTTTACAACATGCCAATCACCTGCCTGTTCGCTACAACTGTTGCTGCCTAGCAAGGTTCGCATATTTTGCCATGGCTTAGCTGATTTAAAGGGGAGACACAATGTCCACTCGCGTTAATGCATGGAATGTCTGCCCTCTAGTCTGGCAAATCAACTGCACAGACACAACACAGCATGGCTTTCACAACGTGCATAAAGATGCGAAATCCGGGGAGGCCGTAAGTCTCACGAAGGGAAAGTGAAAACTGAAACCGCATTGTCCATTGGTCGTATGTAACGCTCGCATCTGCAGTTGTAAAAGATTGCTGTCTGAATGTTGTAAAATGCCCCATTAGACAGCATTGAACTTTGTATCAATTAAATATCTGTGCTTTTCTGCTTATTGCATGTGCCCACAAAATGCCCATGTATATATATATATATATACATGTGACATGCTCACTTGCCCACCACATTGCAGTGCTCCTAATGTTCTGCGTACAAACTATACAATTCCCTTGGTGTGGTTCGTGACATTGATAAACAGATGCAGAGGTTATCGCTTGTGCGGCCATTACCAACATGTTCGTCGTCACACAGCCACCAGCACTATCCTGCTACCATTTAAGCCGCAGCCCATGTCGCCGAACGCTATGGTTATTTACAGGCGAACCTCAAGGAACACTGCGATTCAGTGCACAAGCAGGCTATTCTTTAACCAAGCCACGCACAGATGTACTAATTCACAGGCATGAAAGATGCATAGCATTTTCCCACAGTGCATGAATGAATAGCAGTCGTTGCTAGCGAGAGTTCAGAGGCAGTACTTTCAAACTGAAACCTGTTCCGTTAAAAAAAATGCCACAGACCGGTATCCTGTGTAACTAATGACACTGGGCCCTCTGCGGTCAGTAATAATTATAACGCAGGTTTGGTATCATGACAATGTCATGGCCTCTTTTCTAAAGAACTAGTTCATTCACGAACATGTGCAATATTCGTCACATAAAAGAGGCTGCCAAAGAGAAAAACCCTCTTGCTTGTCTTCCTTAAATTACCCCTCCACAATACTAAAAGCCAACTTTCATCATTCCAAGACACTTCGTAAGCCAGAAAGTGTGTAAAAAATAACACAATGCCTCGAAATTTTAACACCAACTCACAATGATGTCATAAATTTGAACAGAACTCACCAGGACCTTACATAATTAACTTTCGCTAAGCGACTTAAACTGGCAGAGAACAAATCCTTGCAATCTTCGAAGTAGAACCAATGTTTGGTGGTTTAAGTGTGAAATTCAAAGATCACAATTTCAGCTTCATTTTCTCTAAATATAATAGACCCATGATTTTGAAACCAGACACAGCTTTCATAGACAATGGCAAATTTTCACGCAGCACTGATCACAGTTTCATACTTTTCATGGCAATGCACCAAATTGAAGTTTTCAGCTAAAAGTAGAAATAGAGGGTCTATTGTGCCAGTGCATATATCAAAAGTTGGCTGTAAAAGAATATTTCATTGCAAAATAAGCCCTAGAAGTCGCCGACCATAACCCCCGCCAACTGTTGTCAAGTGCCATTTTGGTATGGCATGTGTGACATCATTGTGCTACATTAAATAAGAGCCATCGTCGTCTACTTAAGTATCAGCTGCTGCAAATCGTTCAATCTTCAATGTTAAGCTGAGGAAAGCTGAAATAGCTCCATTGCAAGGGCACGTGACGACAATTGTTGGCTGGAATATGGATGCTCGCAGATCGAAAGGTTTGTTACGTCACGGCTCAGAAGTGCACCAGTGTTGTCAGACTGCTAAGAATTAAAGAAATATGCATTATAAATATAGTGCTAGTCCAAAAGCACTGAAATTACGCCAGCTTGTTTGTAAACACCCAAGGATTAACCCACATAACACAGACTATGAGTGAAAACTAGCTGTCATGACCCCTTCAAGCAAATGATGCTGCAGTGATCCCATGATCAAGATTTCAACTTTTGAATGACTTTGTAAAAAAAAGAAAGAAAAGCAGAACATAGATTTCCCAAAGGCTGCCTCACCCAGGCATGTATGTGAAACAGGGACAAACATATAAATTTTCTTACGTTTAAGGCTTACAGTTTACCATGAGTTTACCAATCAGACATCAGACAGCTTACGAGTTTACCAATCAGACATGAAAAAATTGTACTTTGTTACCCATTCAAAGCTTCTAACTCCATTCACACAAAAAATAAACGATGACCTAAAGCAACAGACCACTCCAGCCATCAAATACAGCACTTGATTGAATTGCTGATTGCTGGTTACCCTTTTGGCCCACAATGCCACGGGCTCAAATAGAAAAGAGCATTCTGACTGTTATAGCTCCGGAAGCTAATTTCTTCACGAGGTTTCTTTTCTTCCAAGCCAATGAGCCCCAATTTTTTTGTACTTTTGTTTTGCAGAATGTCGACTGTGCCACTTAGCCAACATTTACAGTGTAACGTAAGCTAGAGCGCACTACCAAATTCATTACTGCAAACTTTTTAGGCTTAATGCCAATCAATGTTGAAAAACAAACAAGAACAGGAATGACAATCTAGAGCCACCAATATTTCAGCCTTTGGCCACTTGCTTTAAAAGCACAAGTTGTCAATTTGCCTGTAGTGAGTCACTACAGCTTGTACGTGCAACTATCAAGCAACTGTTCGTATGAAATTTACTTTGTCACCTTTTTTTCCTTCTAATTTTTCTTTTTGCTTCTGAAATTAAGTGCCGTAGGACTTGTTTTGGGGCTGATTGGTGCTTGCATAATCGTGGTGTAGAGCGAAAAAACAAATTGGGCAGACAGAAACGCACACCCACAGGTGCCTGTGATGTGTTTCTGTGTGCCCGTTATATGTTTTCGCGCTACACTATAATTCTTAGCAAGTGCTGCACCCTGTTGTTCCACCGCCGGTAGGTGTCTGGGGCTTTGTCAAGCTACCAGCTTCCTTCCCGGCCACCTTTTTTTTTTTTTTTTCACTGTAAACGTTTCTTTGTGTGAAAATAAAGGTCCTTGCTTGACTGATTTTGCTTCACATGCCCCTGATAATAATTATAATCATGAGGTAAGCTTGTAATATATTGAAAGGTTTCTTTACTGAGTGTTTTTGACATTTTTGTCGGGAAGGCAATCCTAGGGATGCACAATGAAATGTCCCGTACAGGCACAACAATCTAGCCAGCTTTACTGATAGGTCCACAAAGGGGAAGGGTGAAGCAAAGGAGGAGGAGGCGGACGGTGTACGCACCCTCCCGACCGCCTCTTCTCCCGGCCATCCTCGCAGTGATTCGACGAGTAGGAGTCCGAAGAATTGTCACACCGCGATGCATTGTGCAGCTGCTGCCTTGCCTGGATCCGAAACTCTTCAGCCGCTGCGATGGCTTTGCTCTGCAGAGCGAACGTCTGGTAATCCTGCGGGATCTCGCCTGGGAATTCCCCGCAAAAGCGGCCGGCACAAGGAGTGTGTGAGAGAGAGAGAAACAAGGAGCGAGTCGGGAGAAGGACAGCGTGTTTAACAACAGAGAACACGCGCGCTGTGGCTGCCGGCGGCTCGCAGAGCGCTACGTGGCCGATCGAGTGGCAACCCACCCCGCGCAAGCGTTTCGGACCAACAGTTGACAAGTGCGCGCGCAAAGGCGCTACGGTGCAGTCACCCCGAATGCTAACGCAATCATCGCCGCCGCCCGTTCGCGAAACGCACGCGCGCCCATTTTTTTTTTTTTTTTTTTTAGCGTGCCTACGCGTCCCTTATGGTGGAGAGGAGGATGAACGGAGGGCGAGGGAACACACACGCACGCCCGACCGGAGGAGGCCGCATGCGTTCTTCTCACGCATGTGCGCCGCGCATGGCACACGCGCACACGCCAACGCGGGGAGGGAGGAAACAAAAACAGCGGCCACGGCGGCCGCTTTAGCCCAATGAGGAGTGTCAGGTGGACCTCTCAATGCGTCACACTCGCGAGAGGGGGAGGTACCCTCGTGAGGCATGCACGTCGACCACGCATGTGCCAAACGCGTTCTAGGCAATGATGCACTAAAGGCTGCGAAAGACAACGCGATAACCCAGCGCACAACTTAAAGCAACTGCTTCGGCACACAAGCTCGCGAATACTCCAAATATGCTAAACATCTTTAGTTTGGTTTTCGCACTAGACGCACAAATGGTCCTTTTGCGCCACCGGCAGTACGACCGAGCTGTAGGCCGAAAAAAGAAAACACAAACGTTGGGCTAGGATAAGACAAAAGCCGCATCCTGAGGCCGCATAGCGCATATGCGTTGTGCTCGAGCGGTCACGAAGCGCTCCGCGCTGCAGCGCACACGTACGGCCAAAAAATAAAGAATAAAACCCTTTAAGCAACAAGCTGAGAAACGGGCAAACTGACTCTTAGCACAAGCGAAAGCACCTGCGAGGCCGTTCTGATGCGGTCGAGCCACTTGATGACGGCACCGAGCAGCAAAAAATAACACCCCACCCAAAGGTACTGACGGCACACTCTCATCCGGTTATTTACACTAAAGTGCGCCGAGGCCATCTTCAACCTTCGCCCTGCACACGGCTGCTATTTTTCGCAGCCCATCAAAACGCGAGCGAAGCCGCTATGACCGCGAGAACTCGGGCGAGGTAGAGGACGTTGTTTTCCAGTCCACTGACACATGCGCACCCGATGCGACCCTTATTCGGCCGACCGCGTAGTAGATCGACGCCGCGACAGCAGACAAGGAGCGACATTGTTCGCCGACGAGCTCCCGTTCGCTCGTTTCCCGACCCGATCGCGGTCCCACCCGGAGCCCGATTCGAGGCCAGGGTCCAGCGCGATCGCCCACGGGCCGAGAAACATCGAACGGGCAGCCGTTTGCGATCATCGCGGCACACATCCGAGGCTACCGACGGTAATCCGGAACGAAATATTCTTACCACGTGCTTTTGCTTCCGATCTATATTCGATGTATTTGGCGGCTTCAAGCAGGGTATCTAAACTCATGTCGTAGAGCAGTTCCCGATGAATCCCGCACACAAGTGGCGTCGATCTGGGAGTTGGATTAGGCGAGCTACACGTCTTTTTGCACACCGAAGTGGAACACTTTCCTCCCAAGATGGCGGGAGCTCATCAAAACACTCGCAGAGCACTCCCGTAGTATGCCGACGCACCACGTGGTAACTGTGATTGACGTGCCACTCGAGCGTGGCCTTATGTCTCGATCGCCGCTCACGAGTAGCAAACAGGCATTGTTTTACGCGTGTGAAACAATAATACCATTGTTTGCAAGTTTCAGACAAACTTGGGCAATATTCAATGTTTTTTCAGGTAAAACGGCGAGTTCAGAAAGATAAAGAGAGGGCAAAAACATGAAAAATAAATTTTCATGCATTATTTCTCACATCATCGTCTACAGGCTTCAAGGTGCCTCTATAACTACTTAATACATGCGAAAATACAAAAATTCGCCAACTTATTTAAGTACTAACGCTCAATTAATTTTACTACTCCGTGTGCTGGTCAAATGTGCATGCCCTTCGGATCGAGGTATTAGGACAGTTAAAATGAAACATTTGATACGTCACGTGTTGACCAATCACGTGTCGAGAAAACATAGCTAGTGGGTGGAGCTACAAAATCACGTGTTGTTGTGGATGTTTTTTCCGCGGCACGAGCATGACAACTGGCCGACCTTTACCCAAAAGGAGTTGTTTCTGCTGTTGGACCCGTCACCCGGGGTGATTTGGCTATCGAACAAACTCTGTGGTCTCGCGGATACGAGTGGCCGCCGTGTGGGAGGCCGTGCAGGCGTAGGAAGTGAATCCACGGCGTCAAAAGCTCGCCTTAAATGGGGTCATGAACCCTAACCGGAAAGTTGCGCTTGGGATATGACACGCAAGCTGCAGCTGTAATTAGATTCAGGACCGGGTAGAGAACACGTCGAACTTTGTGAGTTGGCACTTAATATGGCCTCTCGTTTTTTTTAATTCGTGTAGCCAAATCATAGGCGTATTTTCTTCGCGTGTAGCGGCAGCGTACTGCGATAAAACGGGCGTCCACAGCTGCTTAGGGCTAGATATTCGATGTCGTGGCACTTCGTATCGTACGTACCTAATCTTCGTACCGGATATCGCTTTTGACAGAGCCGAAACCTATAGTTGAGGTACAACGTTTAATGCGATTTTTTTTTTTACCCGGACCTGTAAAAAATGTTGCGTTTTTCATTGTCGTGGGACGTGGTACGCGTCACGTTAGTCGCGTTTTTTTGTTTTTAATTTCATTTCGCTGCATTGCGTGTCGTGTAGGAGTGTTTCAATAACTGAAATTACGAGGACAAAGGTGACATTCAGTAGCAATGGTTTCAATTGTCCCCGGGCCTCTCTCTCTTTTTTTCTCTGCACTCTTGACAGATTTCTTCACATATTGACAGATTGGAAAAAAAAAATCCACAAAGAGCTATTTACAGATTGTACACGACTTAAAAGGAAGCAGAGAACTGTAACAGTTGTACAGAGCCAGGTTGAGGAGTTGCCTGCCCTCACCGATATGACGCAGCACCTCTCCAAGGACATTCTGATGCAACTTGCACTGCTCATGACGATTGAAATTACACCAACCATCCATGGGTGTACGGAGTGCCCTCAGTATCACGCACCCTCCACATAAACGTTTGAAATTGTGGAAAATTCGAGGGTATAATCACTACGAGCTGGGCTGGCTTCCCACTTTATTCACAAAACAAGATGACCACCTCCGCAGTACGCCCACAACAACATCTGCAACGAAGTGACTGGTTGGCAAAAGTGACACGTCAGAGAAACAATGTCCACTGTTCCGTGATGATGCTGTCGCTGGCACATGAGCCAACCTGGTGTGTGACGAGATGTGCAGCTTTCATTGGTGCTGCACTCAGTTTAACTTCTTGGCAGACCTGGCTGTGCTCTTTGGAATGTTTGCAAGTTGTGTCTTGGTAGGTAAATGTTGAAGCTTGAGTCAAGCATGTACTACAACCTGCAGGAAAGCAGTGTATTAGTTTCATGTAGCCAACTACGAAACGTCGGAGTGCTACAATGCGGGCAGAAAGTAACCCAATTTCCTATATCTCCATAACAGGAATTGTTTATGAGTTCTACAATACTTCACTAATTTTAACAAAACAATTACCATTTTGTTCTTGTCATTGGAGAATTTATTAAGTATCTTGCTAGAAACACTTACTTTTTGTATTTTTGTTAGTGATCAAGTAGCAGCTATGCCTCAAGTCTATTTCCCTTATTTTTCCACTATTGACACATGCGCATCATCCAACAGAAAGTTGCAAATAAACATCCATCTCATCTACATCTGTGTCCTGTGTCGTATTTCTAGAATATGCAGCAACTCTTCTCAAACAGCGACCGGCAGTTAAACAAGATCACGGTAACTCTGTCGTGGCAAGACTTAGCTTCCCTTCAACCTAAATCAGCTGTTAATTATCTTTTCTGAAAGCTTGGTCAAACCATTGAGTCAATAAAATGAGATTGTACTAAATTCAAGCAACAACAGTACAGCAGTATGTGCTTTTTTTTTTCTTTAGTAATAAGTGAAATACATGTCTTTGCAGATGTCCACTATTTGTGTACAGTAAAACCTCATTAATTTGGACCGACACACTGGTACTGGCACAGCTCTATGAATTTCTACGGGCGAAACATTCCGATGATTCGAACGCATTGGTATCTAGAACAATTCATTCAAAGTGAAAGCCCCTGGCTTTTGTCCCTTCTTGCAGAAATCGGCCAAGAATGATGACAATTTGTTGCAAAACCAAATTTGAAAAGCAAAACAGCAGCATTTCTTCACAGATGAGAATTCCTAATGTTGCGCTGGAGCTCATGGGCAAGCTGCAGATGATGCTCGTGAAGTCCCAACAGAAGTGCAAGCATGTAATCTTTAGCATAGATGAAGTATATACAAATTACTCATTACTTTCATCTACATGAAAAAAAATGTTTAGCGACTGATTTCCGTGTATGCTTTTATGGTTTTAAATGTCATCTGCTGCTGCTGTATGGGTGGCACGGCCCCGTCAGGCAATGTTTGGCTTTAGCTGTATCCCCTTGGACAATTTCACCATTGTTTTAAATAAATTAAAAGAACAAAAGACTTTAAATATTGACAGCATTAACTACGCAGTGTAAATGAACATGTTTTCAAGTACAAATAGCTTTGTATATTTCAGCATTATCGCTTTGCCACACAGTGTTGCGAATTCGCGACATGCCGAAAAACTTCTAGCGAGCAAGTCACAAAATGCGTGCCGCCTTTAGTGCCAGCTGTCAAGTAGTCATAGGTAACTTAGCTTTGAGCATAAAAAATATATTGCTATCTTTTCTAAGGTACTTATTTTATGCTAGAACCAATTGTTTTGTACCTGATGGCAAATAATGCGAAGTGCATGCAGGTCTCACTTTGTTCTTTCTTGCATAGGTGACATAAGTTCTATCTTCAATGATTTTATTTAGTTTGTGTGTAGGCAACCACACGACATGTTAAGTAATTCTGATGTACATTTTTTGTGGCAAGGTCCTCACTTCTGCGGCATTTCGAGAATTCGTGACATACATAAAAATATGTATTGTAGTTGCATTTTAAATTACTTAACTGTAGATTCATTTAAAGGTTGCTATTTAAAGCTGAGAAAATAAAAACAATTTTTTTTGTAAGACAATTTAATTCAGGCATAAAAGGTTTAAAGCTCACAGCTCACTTGAACGCAAGTTGCTGCTTGTTTCTGGTGTATCACTGACTTACCAATAAATTCAGTTTACTGTCAGAGCATGAACTTAATTTACAAAATTACCTGCCACAAATGTGTAATATTGCTTAATTTCGAGGAACGAATCTAGAGGCGGCTTCTCTGGGTTCTTTCCTAACAGTGTGGCGCAATGTCTGTTCATTCTAGCACCTGTCCGCTAATTCCAAGTCTGCTTAGTTCGAAGAATATTATCCGCTAATCGAAGTCTGCTTAATTCGAAGAGTATTATAGTCTCTTCAAGTGAGTCATAATAACACGTCTTCACTGTATAGAACACAAATGAAGAGCAGCAAAGCAAACATATCAGAAAGAACAAGCAAGTAAACAATTTAAATTTTACACTGGAGATGTTCCGCGAGGCGTTCGCCGTGTGTCGTAGATAGGAAATTATCATCGGCATGAACCAGTATGCGCTCCCTACATTCGCTTCATCTTCATCGACTTGTCCATTTCCAGAACATGTGTGCTGATTTGTCTTGTGTGGGATAACAACAATTCTAATAAGCGAGAGAACAACTGCAGTGAGAGAGAGAGAAAAATTCTTGGCGAGGCGACATTGAAACCCGTGATCTGAAGGCAAGGGTCGTAACCACTCGGCTATGCAGGCACGCAATATTTGTTGAGACTATTCATCTTGGCAGTGGAGCAAAGGCAATGGAGGTGGGGCTTCCACACATTGGTCCACAAGCAGTACGGCAGCCTGCAGATTATTTTAGTTTTGCTCACTCGCATCGTTAACGCGTTTAGAAAAACATATGCTTGAAAAATGTGCATGAGAGAGGCATTTTGATTGTTCAGTGTACATTTTAGTGTCATATTGCGAGTATATTTTACTCGAAGACCTTGACAGCGCGTTAGTGGGTGCACACTGGCCCAGCGTCATCACAGGTGACATCTTTATTTTGGAGAATGGCTGTGCTAAAGAGGTCTAAGAAGTAGAACGAAAATGAAGACATCTTTTTAAAGTGAACAGTAACACCATTTTACTTAAAACTTCCCACAACTGCTTGAGTCTCATAATAAAGAAGGCAGTATTTATTTCAGTAAGGCAAATGAGAAAGTTATCAGTAAGCTTAAGTACTATTTTTTGGCACGGTAGCAGGCATGCATTTCAGTTCCGTAGCTTACATAGTATCGCGAAAAAAAAAAAGAATTGTAGTCGAGTGGAGTATAGCAAAGGGTCAGAAAGAAAACTAACAGTGAGTGCAAAGCTCAGCATAAAAGGAAAAAGAGAAACAGATAGAAAGAAAGACAAAATGGAGTGGGAAGGAGATAGTGAGAAATATGCAGAACAAGAGATGAAGAGAAAAATAAATATGGACAAAACAGAGCAAGCATAGTCGAAGAGTACGGGGGGTTGGGGGGGGCTGGACCTTGCCCAGGATATTTTTCAAGGGCTTGGCTAAGGCTCTCATCCATCGCCAGGGGACTTTAGGCCATCCTGTCTTGCAGCTATTTCACAGGGGACTATTTATGCCTGTTCCTTTTCCCTTCAGAATTCAAAATTTGGATCATGGAGCAATGGCAAGTATAAGGAGTCTGGCGCTGTAGCCACATTGAAAACCAAGTCACGGACTGATGAAAATCGCAGCATTTGTACGCGTACGCATGAATAAAATTTATGTTTCGCTATGTAAAATGTTCGTTTATTATCTTGCTAATGCTGTCAATATATATATATATATATATATATATATGGCGTCGACTAAGATGGAGGACAGCACGCACAACCGACAGACCACTTCCTCGTTGTCGTCTTCTGACCGCTAATATGTCAGCTACGTAGCAATATAAAGAGTGTGCCACACTCGCCACCATGGCTACTGGTGGTGCTGACTGACACTCCCATGTTTATATTCACATATATATACAATAAAGTGTGATAGCCGTTGTGGTAGCTCAGTCAGTGTTAGAGCATCGAACGCGTTATTCGAAGGTTGCAAGTTCGGTTCCTGCCAACTTTTCTTTTTTCACATTTACATTACAATTCGGTCTAATACCTTCCCCTATACTTTCCTTATCATTATTGTCTGTTATATCTCATTAATATAGCGTAAAACACGGAAAAACGAGCCCTTAAGTATACACTTCTCCCCCTATATGTATGTGTATCTGTGCATGTGCATGTGTGTATATAGAAAAAGAACAATGGTCAAGAGAATAAAGCCAAGCCAGTATGAGCTAGGTGCCCACCAGTTCTGCTGTGATCTAGCCTTGGATGACTTAGGACAGGCCATCCAAATTTTAATGCAATAGCATTAAAGAGCTCGTTTTGCAGAAATTCCGACATCGGCGTCATTGGTTGTGAGCGAAAAATCGTCACCTTATGCGCGGCCAAAAAATTTAGCACGACGCAAATAAAATAAATTAATGATAAAGAATCCTGGAGCAGAATCTTGGACCCAAATAACCCAAACCAGGGTTGTTTGGGTCCAAGTGGAGATCGAAGCCGGGTCGTTTGTGTGACAAGCGGATGTTCTACCACACGGCCACGCCTCTGCCTTTCAAGAGAGAGAAAAGAACTTCCTCCGCTTGGAAATGGAGTGAAAGTAGCTTTCACGCTTCACAAACACATGCGTACTGTATATGCGGTTCACAATGCAACAGGAAATATTGCAGCAATAATACATGGTAAAAGCGTCTATTGCCAATGAGCATCAGAATATGTGATTATCATACTGGCACCGTGGTTGAACGCTGGTAACCCCATTACAAAAGGCACACACGCTACTGTGCCTATTCCCTTAAGGCCACATAGTGGGTGCATAGCAAATTCGAAAAGGTTCCATGCACTAAGTGTTTGAAGTGCGCACTAGGAACAGGATGTTGCTCTAACGTTCAACTCCTAAAGGCGAAGCTTTAGGGTCCCCTGATTTTTTTTGTAGCAGATAACACGCTCCCTTAGTTTGTAATGTAAGACTGATCGCTGTGCAAGCATGCTTATCTGTCCAATATTAACCTCTGTTCTCAGAGGAATGTTGTGTTAGCACTTCTTTTGCAGTGCAAGATCAAGAAGAGCGTCTTTTAGGCAAACTGCTATTTCTATAGAACTATTTGAATTCAAGCAGTACACAGAAATTCTTTAATCAGATAACAGCTAGACCAATTAGACTACATTTCAGAGAGAAAGCACATTTTCAGTAACTTTAGCGAACAGAACTTTCATTTGAGGTCCCAAGCATATAAAAACCCAAGAACTTAAGTTTTAAAATAGTAAAGGCACAATGTTTACGAATTCATAACTGCACACTAAAACGGGTATTAGAGTACTGTAAACTACATTAGTTAGATCCCAGAGAAATCTGACATCTGGACACACAGCTTACATAAATTTGTTGCAATGCTGTGAAGGGTTTTAAAAAAATGTTTACTCAGATTATTTGCATATTTCACAGGGGGTCTACAACACTTAGAATCTGTTCACTTGAAGCATTCTTCTGTTATGTGCAACTTGCAGAACTGTGATATCTATTTTCATTGCTGCTTGTAATGTTGATAGTCGGGCTTTTTTAAGACTTGAATTTCTGATACCAGTTATTTTAGAAATGATAGTTTAAATAACAAGTCTATTTTGTACAGTCACGTTTTCCTCAAAGTGTAACTTGCATAATTTAATATAGAGCAATGGTTGCAAAGAAAAACCATTTTTTTTCCATTTCCATGTATTTTGAAAGGAGCCCCTGGGCTTTCAGTTGCATACAATATTTCTGCAACTTAATGTAATGAATGTAAACACTCTTTGCCAGAAACGCCATGCATTTATTTGCATGCCAACGCATTCTGACAGAAGGTACAAAAAAGAATGACTGGTAATTTTTGCAATGTTTCGTCGGCAAAGAAAGAAAAATAGAGCTTCTCTGCGTCATAGGCCTTTTGAAAACTTAAAGATTAAGGTGTTTTAAGATGCTTCGACCACAGCTCACAGGAATTCAAGAAAAATCTCAATACATAGCAACAATGTATGGTGTATCAGTCCGTCACAAGCGTCATGTGCTATCTGCACTTACGAGAAAAAGGAGAAAAGGTATACTAACATGCCTTGGCAAGGGACCTAAAAGTGAAGAACCTTTTGCTGCAAAGAGAAGCAGTATATTCCCATCAGAGAGCATAACAGGCACAAAATTTGTTTATGTGGAAGCCCGAAGTTTCTCACCAGACACGGGCCTTGACAAATATAAGTGGCATGCGGCAAAAAAACCCATGTGACCTTTCAGAGTATATGAAGAAATCAGAGTGAGCTAGAATTGCTCACAGGTATTCTTCTTGGCAGTCCAAATATTTTACCACAGAGCTATGCCAGTGCATGAAATCACTTTGGAGGAAGACCCCAGTACAGTCATATTGGGCAAGGAATCACGTGAACAGATGTGAATTGCGTGCCAGAAGCATACAACGGTATGAGGCGTCGCAGCATGTGGATTGTACAACTGATTGAGTGGTAGCTGCCTGCATGCTTGAAATTCCCGAGCTGACAATTCACCACTCTCATCATCATCAGCCAGTGCATCAGCACAGTGTGCAGTAACATTATTGCATATATTGCCTTAAAGGGCCACTCACCAGCTTTGACAATTTCGGGCTGACAAGCGCAATACGTAGACGAGGTGTTCATGGTCATTTCTGCCGAAATTTGCAACGCTACGCACTGCACGGAAACGGCTCAAATTTCAAGATGAACGCTGCTTCCCTCTCCCTTCTGCCGGCGGCGCCCTAGAGAATGAGGGCATGATGTGCGCGTATGAATGGCCCTACGTACACGGCAATGCAGTGACGTTGGTCATCTACATAGATGACTCTGCTCTGACGTTGCAAACAGTGGCACGTGACATGGCAAAAAATATTTAACACGGCATGCGTAGCTTATGTAATTTGTTGCCAAGAGATTATTAAAACTCTAGATAAATACTGAGACGCAACAAGAGAATGTGAGCGTATTTTTTCCATTTTTCTTCCCGTCAATTGCAATGAGATGCGGGGCTAATGTGTTGGCGTTTTGCATGCGTTCGTGTTTTCGGGCAGTCACTGCATCGAGCAGATGACCGCCGTGGAATGCTCCTATGCATTGGCGCACTAATTGTGCTCATCTATTCTACCGCATCTAATCCCGCGTTTCCAAATCATCCTGCAGAAACAGGCAGAAGACCACAAAATAATGCAGGTCAACAAAGCAACGCCACTCGCGTGCTTGGGGGTTGGACTTGTTTGGGCACGTCATGCGCACGTGACCTCTTGGTCAGATGCCGGAGAGGGTGGGGAAGAGATTTGGCTTGCAAAGGCTATGCTTGAGGAGCAGCAAGGTTTCGAGCTCGCCTCCTGTCATTCTCGTTTCGCGCTGCTTCAAATAACCCGTTTTTCTTCGCTCAGTGATGAATCGTAGTCAAAAAAAATTTTGTGGCAAAATGTTCCTCATCGGACACTACACAACTTCCATTGCCTAACTAAAATTTGCTATGGGGCCTGGTGAGTGGCCCTTCAAGATGCATAGTGAGTACCTACATCACTACTTTGCAAAATGATGAATAATGGGGCACCATACGGCTTTTGCCATTGAGCTGTCTTCGACAAATGCATAAGAGGCGCTGTGAGTGTTTTTTTCCTCTGGATGGAACAAACGTTACAGGACTGTCGCACTGGATTACCAAAGCTGACGACGCTGCCTTCGGCAGGGCCTCTTTCTGAGGGGCAGGGTAGGGTTGCCACACATATTTACAATAACCCAGAGGGAATTATGGCGATGGCCGGGACACTCTAATGGGAATGGTGCAATGTTGGCGAGGACGTTGGTTAGTTATTTTCTAAACACGGATATTATGGACGCCTTGCGAGCATGCACATTCACCAATTGTGCCAACACTTTCTCATTAAAAACAGCAGGCCTGTGCAGAACACGCAGCATAAGTTGGAGGAGAGACCTTCCTAGAGCTCATAAACTCTCAAAGGGCACCTACTGCAAGTTCAGTTGCAAAGTACCCACTCCGCCATAAATAATAATTTTGTGAAGTGCCCATCATGCACTTCTAAGACATTAAGTGCACCAACATGACTGATAACGGCAATGATGAATTAGAGATTCAACTGTAGCAGGTGGTGTATACAACTGTGTACCTAATGGGTAAAATGTTTAATCTAACCGCTCATTAAGCAATTCGCATGGAGTGACACCTGGGATGATTCCAAGTTTCTGTCACTCCATATTGTGTTTATTAATGTGACTCCTTAGCCAACATAATGCCTATAAGGGTTCTTTTTCTGAAGAACCTTCAAGCACTGGCATGGCTCTGAGACAAAACACTGGAGGGCCAAGCTGAATGCCTGATATTAATTCCAGCTTGCATAGAAAACACCGATGGAAGTGGACGACATTCTCACTAAAATCAGACACTGTTGTGAGTTCATAACAGCTTACGCTGTAAGAAAATAACATAAATGGTAGGAAGGGAAAACTGGAAGCTTGCGATGAAAAATACGTAAACAGGGGTTGTGTCGAGCCGACGTTTCGACAAGCCAACTTGTCTTCCTCAAGGCTAGAACAGAATTCTCTATTCTAGCCTTGAGGAAGAAAAGTCCGTTCGTCGAAACGTCAGCTCGACACAACCCCTGTTTACAGACTTTTCATCACAAAGGGCGAAAAGGCACAGAGAAAGGGCACAAAAGTGTTGGTGCTGCACCAGTTCCATTCAGTACAACAAATTAAAAAAAATAGTTTCAGCTCATTGCAAACTCTAATAAGAACACTGTGTTAAACTGCCAGACAATATGTAGCACATTACCCAAGGACACTGTCTAAAGCCACACAATAAGCAGATCAACTGCCACATTATGCACAGCCCATATTTGACAGCCTGAACACACTAGCCGAAAAACACCTGTGGTGCGCCAACAGCAGTAAAAACACAAGCCCCAAGGTTGCTGCACGGTAGAATTCTCATGCTGCGGGAAGAATAAGCTTGTGATTGGCTTTCTGAAAAGACCAATCAGAGTGGCTCCCTTGCCCCCACTACACTGCGACAAGATTATGCACCTTATACAGCTAGGGGCGCTGCCAGACGCTCATTTCACATAGGTGAAGAGGCTCGTTTAGTGCTTGTTTGGCTTGGTTCATTTAGTTTTTCAAGAATGGGTCTGAATGGAGGTATAATAAAGGACACGTTTCCAGAACTCGTGTAAGCTTACCTCATTCTATGACAAGTAAGCTTCCTCCTGACCGTGGCACTTCAATTCCGTGCCCCCCTCTCACCCCACCCCCACCCCCAAAAAATTTTTTTGTCATGCATACATAGTGCCAAATGACCATTTGCCGGCATAGCTTCCACTTTAGATAAAAAAAAGGTGTCCACACCCTCCTCCAAATGTGAAAAAAAAATTTCTGCATACAACCCTGTCTCTGACATGTATCTAAGGCACCATTGGAACAAATGCTTCTGAAAGCTCTTGTAAACTTCTTCAGTCTGTTGTAAGTATAGTACATGTTCCCTACCGGCCATCCCCAAAAATAAACCATGGAGGGATTAACTTCAGCCTTTGTGTTCCCTGCAACAATCCAAAAAGGAGGGGCTTGCAGCGAATTGGTGCAGCCACACTGTTCCAACAGTGTTTTCCTGTTGGCGGTGCACCACACATGCTTTTCCACTAATACGCTTGGGCCTTTAATGAAAACATGCCTTTTCTTTCACACTGTATAAAAACCCAGATAACAGCGGCAAATTTACCGTAATTTCGAGAGAGTTCTCTATCCGCCCCCTTAAAGTCACTTTTGGTGACACACTGCAGTAGAAAGGGAAATGCAATCGCAATGGGAAATTAAGTAGCAGAACAGATATTTTTTTAGGAACAACATATATTCATTATTTCAGGCAATGTTTTTCAAGCGGGGACGTGGCAATGGGAATGGTAAATTTGGTCAAAATGTTCAATTTTTCAATTAATTTTTTTCTGCTATGACAGCAGTTCTGGCAATGCAGTGCCAATCATGGTGAAATATTAGACAAAAATAAGTAGTAGAAGTTGAGAGAAAAGCATTTTAATGGTGGGCTGCAGTCAAAAGCTATGTGAGAACTGGGCTTTAGAAAATGCAAGTCTGCAGCTTTCCCTTGACACAGTGCCACCATATAGACATCATCGTAACGAGGACAGATCGGAGCTCAAGATAGCCACAAAGCTGCATTTCTCCAATGAAAAATAAAGCCAACTTCCTTCTGAGTTTCTGTTCTTTAGCTTATAGCTCCAATTTCTTTGAGCTTGATTTACTCAGCTTTTGTTTTTTGAGCAGTTGCTGTCAGTCATCCCAGTTCCATTTCACGACAAATGAGGATATAGCTATTCCGTATCTTGCACTTAGATGCTGAAACATTGGTGAGTGCCATAAAGCTACCCATATTTGTGCGCACATCACACAGATTTTTATAACCTTTTTCTTTGTAAATAATGTAAGACCAAGTGTCCAGGACACTTCAAAAATATTTCCTGCGCTTCCTTAAATATTAAAAAATAAACCAACAGCATTATGCCACAGAAAGAGTTCCTGTGAATATCTTTATGCAAACTTATGACGAACTCATGTCTGATCAATTCATTAATTTTAGGATCATAATGAACATCTATCGGGTGTAATATTATACCTCAAAAACTACATTAGAGCGCTCAAAATCAATGTGAGTTAAGATGTCAGTGCAACAAATGATGTCTGCATACCAAACTTCACTACTTAATCTTCATAAATAACAACGATAGTTTGCGTTGCCATGTCCACTCTTAACACAAGGTGTCATAGCTATAAGCAGCCCTCAAAATAATGCTTAGGTATCAACATGGTGGATAAAGCCATTGCGGAGCATGCGCCGGGCATGCCCTTTGGAGCTGTGGCTGCGAAATGCTGGGGAGTGAACCCAGCAAAGTAGTTTTTGTGGTGTCATAAGTTTTAATGCATACAAATATAGCTAATACAAAAAACATATTTTAAAAATCCCTACGAACTAAGCTATCGTTATTAACTTATTTGTTTTCGAACTACTAGTATCGAGGCTAGACTTCGCCACAGCGAAGTGAATTCGGCGAATGCACTCCCTCCAGGTGCACTCATGTTGGCCCATGCGACAAATATCCTGCCTTCCCCAACTGGACCACACCTGAGTGAGCAGGAACATACAGAGAAATGGGCTTGGCACTATAAGTGCCGATTCCAACATGGCTGGACTCCAACAGCAATGGCTCAAACCAAACAGGCATTTACGTATTTTTCTCTCACTCAAGGACAACAACATGAGTGATGTACACCACACAATACAGCCTCCTCACCTTCTCCATGGTCACCTTGTGGAAGCGTCCACGAATGATGGCATAGCAGGCCAGTGTCATCACCACGAAGAAAAGGAAGTAGCTGGTGTGGATCAAATGGAGGTTGACTAGAGAGCGATCACCCTGTCAAGGAAAAGTTCAAGCAGAAACACAGATAAACGGAAGCGGTGGCCATTACCAATCAATCTGTGAAACATTGCGTACACCGACAGGCTTACGTATCACTTATATTAGTCAATCCTTATAGGTATGGTGAACGTTTCAATGAGAAAAGTTATGAAATTAAAAGAGAAAGCCTACAGCTAATGCAATCACTCAAGCCTATTTTTTATTCTCAGTTCTTTTGACATGCCGCCAAAGGCACACCATGCATTCTCATGTACCATAATATGCAATGAAAAAGAGAATAAAAAACAAACAAAAGAAAAATGTGGAAACACACATTATACACAGCTACATCTTCAGTTATGGCTGTGTGGCAACACGAAGCATGCTGCTATGAAGCCATACACAAAGGCGAAATTAGCCTTGTATTGTCATGTAGCTGCACCACATATCAACAGGGTAACAGCAAAGGGGTACCTACACATCAAAATTCTAAATTCCTCCTGTGCGCTGCCATTTCTCGGTAGAAACGTAAATGTTAGCACTTTTCTGGACTAAAAATGATTGCACACAGTTACGTTGTAAGGTACTCTATGTGTGTTTGTGTGCATATAATATATATAACAATTGGCAAAAGACAAACAAAAAATCTCCATCTTTCTTTTGTGTGGATATCTGCTCCAGCATTTACATAGATGAAAACTATGGCTTAAACTGCTGCACCATATATATCATTTTAACACAGGTACCACTAGCTGTGATAACAGCAAAAAGATTTCTACCTTAAAATGCAAATCTAACACTTTTTTCTACCCGTTCCTTTGTGAAACAATGAGAGAGGGAACAGTTTAATAGACGACTTAGTAAATACGACTTGGCAATAATTATTATTTTTCTACGTTGTAAACCAGAGAAATGCGATGTATATTCAATCCCTTCACAGTTCTATAGCCGCAGGCATCTTAAGGTGGCTCAAGACACCATATGGGATAGTAATTAAGAAAGGTACACTAATTAACTTTTTTATTAGTTGGGTTAGGAGGTTATGTTCAATGAAAAAAATTGAAGTCTATCATGCGAAGAAACCATCAGAGCTTTGAGAGTTCAAAAAAGCTGCCTCCAGCTATAATTGCAATGTAATGAAATTCACCCCAGTTGAGCGGCAAAACCGAAACTCTAGGAGCACAAAAGCCATGCCCTGCGGAGACATCCAGAATTATTGAGCATCCTTATATCAACCAGCAAACAACTTTGTTGTGTGGGTGTGTAGGCTGCACATGCAGTTACAGCAAGCATGTTGCATATACATTAACTAATTGCAGAATAATTACACCTCTGTAATAGTCATCTAGAACAGTCACTGTTTTGTGTCATGTGCTTGTTGCGCTGACCGGTGCTTCGGTTTCATTTTCACAGTGGATTTTGGTGGAATTTCAATTTGAACACATTAAGTACTAGAGGCCACTTCTTCCACACCCCAAAGCTGCAATGGTTTCTGCGCATGAATAACTTCAGTTCTCCTATCTGAAATAACCACATAACTCTAAGAATTGAAAAGTTAATTAATTTAACTTCCTTCGATAATTTAATTACTGTCCCAAATGATGTCTTTAACTATCTTAAGATGTCTACAGCTACAGAAAATCTGTACGTGAAGATATTGAACAAATATTGCATTTCCATGACTTTTGAGGACTTCGGACACATTTCTTATACCTTCTGGTATATCGTCTTTTTGTGATTGCCCCACCAGTAGTGCAGGCCACATGCAGATGAAACTTGTGAGCGCTATGTACAGAGTTCCTAGCTAATGCCTCGCAGAAATTGATGCTCTTCATTGTGGAGTTACTTGGACGCAGTTCATTCCCTAAAGCACTTCTCGCGGTCGAGTCTTTACACGTTGCTGGTAAGACAATTGCAGATCACGTTCCTTGCTATGAAGTTTTACCAATTCTCCAAAGTAAGTCCTAACTTTGGTACACCTGCAATAATCTACACGCACAACTGATGAGAAAAAGGCTTGCCGGACTGTTCAAAGGCACCAAAAAACAGTACTTATGATACCTGTTTTCTTTAGTGCAATTGGAAGCTTACAAATCAAAGCGCATAACCATGCAAAATGCTGTGAACCATTTATAATCAAAATTTTTTATCTGCAATGATTACAATGTCATACACACAACACATGCTGCAGGCAGGGGTAGGTGAGTGCAACAGCAGTTCGTGTTTGTGAACTGCGGTTCGCTGCACATAATGCAATCCGTATACATGCGTGATGGCTTGATTTGTTTTACTAGTACTAATTACGAAAGCAGAACCGCTTCTCAATGTCAACCCCTGTAGCCTTGTAAACAGCACAGAATACACTAGAGATGTAAAATAATACATGTACTTCAATTTTCAGCACTAATTAGGCCCTGTGTGCATAAAAGCATCGGACTACCTACAGCAAATTAAATGGCTTAAAGCTTATGCAAATATTCCCGCACTTCAAGTATTTGAACAAATATTACAGTAATCGAGTTCGTTTCAAAACTAATTTAAAGTATACTTCATTTCCAAGTGTTTGTAATGATCAAATAAACACATATAAACTGCATCTAGCCTCCCTGTAAAGATAATTTCACTGCAGTAAAGGAGTGTCACACCATTTACACCTTTCCAGGGGAAGCTAATACCCCGAAACCACGCTTCAAGGTTAAAAGAAGGTATTACCCTAACATCGATTCAACATTGTTTAAGTTTGTTGCTTCAACTTCTCTTTGAATAAAATATTATGACATTTGCACATGACTTTCTTCAATCCAACACTTTTATGCAGGCGAATAGGGTTTTGACATCTACGCTCATTTTTCTGTACATGACATATACTATACGAATTCGATTTGAACCCAAAATTTGCTATTCACACAAGCCTAAATGACTCCATGGTGCAGCACCAAAGCTCTTCCGCCTAGGCTATGCATCATACTAGCTTTTTATGACTTTCAAAGATGACTTTAAAACATAATCCTACTCGAATCAGTGAAAAGGATACTTATGTCTGTTACTATAGTTCATGGTATGTTCATTTCCATCAGGATCTTACTACATGCGCTGGCCTGTCGCCGATCCCTTTATTGTGCACCAAATATTACTGAGTGTCATAGAAACAGATTCACTTCTCTCTTTGGGTATTTCTGGCTGGTCATTACCTGTCAAAAAGGGGGTCTAAATGAAAATGAAACTGCTCTAGCTTTGATATAACCGTTGGTGGCAAAGGATAGAAATGTCTCATCAGCATTACTGGGGCCACACGAAGGCTGCTTACATATGACAGCATGACAGTCAGGTCCGGGTTGGGTTTGTACAGGAAGCTGGTCCAGATTCCCCCGCTGCAGTTGACGCGGCCTCCCGTGTCAGCGGCTGAACGTTGCAGAAACACCTGCCTGCTCACCGAGGGCGGAACAGCCTCCAGAAAGCATCTGGGAGGGCGCCTGCAGACATGAAACCAGACGTGAACATTACATCAGTACTGAAGGATGTGTGCGAGGATGCCTGGCTCCTAAAAGGCAACAAGCTCATGAATTTGTTAGGCCTTTGTGAGTAGGTCTTTGTGTTAGGCCTTTGTTAGGTCTTTGTGTTAGGCCTTTGTGAATTAGGCCGTTGTGAATATCGCTTTTACGGTTTGAAGTGAAAGTGAATAATATTTAGAAATGAATAATTTTGAAGTGAATTCAATTGCAAGCATGATGTGAAGAGCAAATAGCAATGAGATGAGTCAAGTTTCAAAATTCGCCATACTTTGCCCATATCGGTAGTAAGCTTTAACACTCATTATGGAATGTACTTCACAGAGAACAATTATTGTGAATTGCAAAAATCAAACAAACAAAAAAGGTGCCTAGTTATTGAATGTGCCATGAAACGAGTTATTTGGTATCTAAAGTACCTTTAGCCCATATCAGTAGTAAGCTTTAACACTCATTATGGAATGTACTTCACAGAGAACAATTATTGTGAATTGCAAAAATCAAACAAACAAAAAGGTGCCTAGTTATTGAATGTGCCATGAAACGAGTTATTTGGTATCTAAAGTACCTGTACTTGTGGCAGAAAAAAAAATCAAACCAGTAAGGCTGAGTACCACATTACAGAAGTAAGCACAGTCACATACTATTGTTGCCAGAGCATCCGCTGATAACGGCCATGAGAGAAAAGTAGAGCTGTGCGAATAGAAAAATTTTGGATGTGAAGTGAATTAGAATATTTAAGGGGAGACACTGGTCTGAAATTTTTTTTTAAATTTTCAGTATTTCCAGCTGAAATTTTAATACAATATATATTTTTCACAGCTGAAAACAAATATGCAATTAGTTTTTTGCCATCACTTTTAGATTTTTAAATATTGACTGTTGCATAAACTTGCATTCTGCCCAGCCTTTTGACATTTTCCTCATAAAATATTGCTACAAATTTGATATGACAGCATTCCATGAAGGCCAGGGAGTGCAACAAAACCATAATTTTATTTTTAGCTTCATTGGTACCAGAGTTATGGCCTTAAGTATACTCATTAGAAATATGAAACTGTTGCTTAAGTTTATTGCTAATTAAATCACTATTGTAAATAAAAATATTACATTTTTTTGTTTTCTTGCACTAATCAATGTATAAGCTTACAAATGCTGCAAGAATTATCAAAATCCGACTGCTACATCAAAAGATACTGAGGGCAATGGCTTAGGGTGTGATGAAAAATGTTGTTTTGAGAAAACGAGAAAAGAAGTTTAGGAACATGCTGAGCACTTATATTTAACAAGAAAAGGTGTGAATTGGTGTATGAACCATGTTAGAAGCCACCAGGAATGTAGTCATCATCGTTCTCCTTGGTGCGCTTTCTTTTCATGGCATGCTTGAAGTTTTCAGCATGCTCATGCTTCTTCTCCGATGCCACTAGTCGGCGACTGTCCTTTTCAGAGCATCTTTCAGCAGCCACAACACTCTGCTGTCTGTGTTTTGCCTCGCTAACAATGCTCCAGCAATTTCTTATCAGAGAGGCGCATGTAAATAGGTCGCAAGGCATCAACCACATATTCCGGCAGGTTGTAGCGATGATTCGGAGGAGTCTCCTGCTTGGCAACAGCCTTGTTGTACTTGCACCATGACTCTTCACCAGTTAGGCAGTGAGAGTGCTGAGGGCTTGCATCAGTAGATGCTACGTGATAAAAGGTTGCCCAGACAGCATTATTCATGGCCTCAATGCTTCCTTGGTTGCTTTGTAAAGCCCATCCATAATATGACGTGAGCTTTGCGACCAGCTCGCCTGTCAGTTTGCCCTTGCCGCCAAGGCTTGGCTTTCCTTCGGCTCTTTGTTTTTGCAGGAGGTTTCGAAGTGCTGTGCCCATGCGCTTATGCACATGGTTGACACGGTCCTCTTTTTCTATCGGCACGAAGCCATATACCTGTGCCTCCTGCAGACTGTTGAAGGCCCGGCTGTCTCCATCACACAACATGGTTGTGTAGCGGAGCCCATGTCTCTCCAATGAGCGGCCAAATAAAATTTGTGCTGCTGCCACCTCCATTTGTCCTGGCTTACTGGAGGTATTCTTTTGGCAAGTTTGACCAGCTAGCCACTCGGCATACCTTGGGTTGTCCTCCTTAGGCCCTAGCTGGCAGCCCAAACAAAAGTTCGATAGGACGACGAAGTCGAGCACATAACCCGTGAATAGTTCAATCACGGTCCCTACACAAATATGGGATGAGTGACCCTGGTCAGCCAATTCCCATCAAAGGAAACGGCGATATTTCCAGGATTTCCATAGTTGAGTTCGGAATACACCGTTTTCACGGTGCTCGCGCAGTCGTCAATAACGCGCGCGGCAGCCTTCTGCGCGGCAGGGTTCATTTTCAATGTCACATAATCCTGGTATGTCTTGGTGTGAAGGCCTCTCCGTGAAATATTTAGGGCGGAAAAAATATCGTTGAGCGCAGTTTGCCCGTTTCCTGCGCTCATTGCCGCGCGAACCGCGAGCACGTTAATTTCGGAGGGGCCGTGCGCTGCGTCCCCCCCCCCCCCCCGCTCTCGGCGAGCTTCATACGGTCCTCAGTTTACCAGCACTCGTCACATGTGAGAACAAGTTTCGCGGCTATGCCATATTCGCGGTCTTCCTTGAAGATTCTGCCAGGCCCGCCACACACACCGCACTTAATACACTGAAGAAGTTCGTTGACCTACTTCAAGCTAACGACGGTGAACGGCGTACCAGGCGTTGCGCCTCCATACGAGTCTCGAAAAAAAAGACAGCTTGCGTTTTGTGGCAGACTTCGATGAAAGATCCTGCAGAAAATCGCTCGCACGACACTCGATTGGCCACTTTTTCAGCGTCGGAAACCAGGGGAGTCTCGACGCGCACAGCTCTCGTGTGATCTTGGGACGCGGCTATCGCGTCCGCGATCGCGGGTGCCACGGCGGTGATAACACTGGCACAGCCTGCTTCTTCCGAGTTCTCGGCGGCAGAAGGTCTCGCTGGTGATAAGGTGCGGGCTCTCGGACGCCGTTTTCGCCTTTATCCGACCGCATGAGCACTCCGGAACTTCAGATGACCGCCTGCCATTGCACCGAATTCACAGCCGTTGTTAGGCCTCTACGCAAAATGGCGGCTTGCACGCCGCTGTCTAGCAGACGAATCCGTTCACGTCCAATAGAAAACTGGAAACTGCCCCACGTGACAAAACGCACCAATGATGTGCGAGTATTCAGTTTTTCTTTATGCTCGATAGCTGCGTTGTTGCTAGACGAAAAACGTTCTTCTGCTAGGAACAGAGAATAGAAAAATGCGTCTTTAAAAGTGAGACCAAAATGGCCGCGCTACTTGGTGCGGTTCTCGCGTGCTGTGGCGTTGAATACGACCGTTTTTGAGGTGGTTTCGGAAGCGAAAATGGTCATCAAACTGACTTTGCTACCCAATAACTCGACAAATACGCATTACAGGGCTATATTTTAGGAACAGCTTCCTTAGACCTTAATGATTATGAAAAAAAGATACTTCAAAAAAACCGGTTTTTCGGAAAATTTTCAGCCTCCCATACCTGTGTCTCCCCTTAAGCTTGAGTGCGAATCAAATCGAATATTTTTGAACAGTTGAATAATTGTTCAATATTTTTCAAATACTTCGAAGTGAAACTACAGAAAAAAGATTGCAAAAAATCCTTAAGCTCATTCTTGCAAGGTGGGAACTTGGAAGTGTCTCTTCTGTAAGGATGGTGTTGCCCTAGTTGTTTTATCAAAGATGAGGCAATGTAGAGACTAAATTGCATTTATTTAGATAATTTGGTGCCACCAATGTGGTGTCGGCAACACTTTACACGTGAAAGCAAGAGACTCCATTTCCTCCTCCTTTTCCTTATTCAACTTCTGTGGAGGCTCAACTGATTCGGCAGACAAGAGTGTGCGTCTTCTGAATTAGATGTTGCCATCTGTCTGTGCCCTGGCACCTGTGCCAGTGCACAGATGGATGAACGGACATGAGCATGAGACATCAAAGGCTTTTACTGTAAAAAATCCAGCCAGCTCCACTTGGCAGACACCAATGAAAAAGAAAAGCTGGTGGCGTGCAGTTGTGGGCATGGTGGTAAGTTGTGAAAGTAGTGGGAGTGATAGGACACATGTACGTCGTGGGATTTACCCACTTTCTGGGGGTAAATTCTACTATGGTTTATTATTTATGATGGTCACCAGATGAAAGCAGTGCCCAAGAACATCTTTACTATTCAAAGATAATCGGGGAGCACGTCATACGCTCACTTTACTATAGATTGTGGATTCACAGCAGAATGAATTTCCTCTGAAAAGCAGTTTCGTGGCATAGCGGCCTGACGCTGCTGTGAAATCATCTTTTGACACAGGTTGAATGCGGTGAGAATATTTTAAATGGAGCCGTAATAGTAGAGTCACACATGTGTTTGATGGTTGCAGAATGGCTCACAATCATTTTGCTTTTTTCTTCACTACACCTCTTTCGTCAGTTCATCTCTCCTCTGCGCAGAGTGCTCCTCCTCACCATGCAAGCAGGAAGAGCAGAGAGTGTGCGTGTGTCTGCTGCTAACAAACGGGTTCTTTTTGGTGCTGAAATGACAAGGTGCCGGTGCTGATGTCGGGAACAATGCTAAATAAAATGAAAGGCCTAAAGAGGTTCACAGGACCACATTTCTGTTATATGAAGCACTGGTGGCTTGTAGCACTGCTGCGTTTCGCACTGTTAGTTGTGACAGCATTCTGAACTTGATGCACATGGTTACTTGAAATGTTACAGAAATAGCAAAGATGGTTTAGCTTTTTAGGGGGGCAGCTCCTTATGGCATGGCTTGTGCGTCCCCTATTATCGTAGTGCATAACCTGTGGCATATACCCGCAAACAAGTTGCATATACCCACCCTCGGGCACATGTCCCACATGTTACGAAAAATATAGCGCGGCGTCGTTACCCCGTTCTCG